AACGTAATTCCAGTAACATATGGGAGTAATTAGCAACGTTAGTGGTTTTTCAGTGTTTTAATAGTAGTGTATTTGCGGGACTATAATCCCAATAAACTACTGTAGCCAAAAAAAATCGTTGTTTCTGAGCGAAACCGAAGCCTTTGTCTCTGAGCGAAACCGAAGCCAGATCTCTTCCTAACCAACCATCTACCACCCCAGCTAACCGTATCCATAGTTGACCTCTATGTCTGTCTGATAATCCATTGGATCCTTCTTCCTGTGGTTCTTGCTCTACTTCCAAACCTCAGACAAATCAAGATGACCAGTTATTTGTTGAAGAAGAGAGCATCGTCTATCTAGCTAGAGCTAGATCGGGTCAGGCGGCAGTCTCAAGCGTATTTATACTGTGACCTGTGGTGGGAGCAGAGCACATCTCTTCTCTGCCAAAAAACGAGAACCACCACAACCACAATCTTTTCAGATTGAGAACTAGGAATAAGAGACCGCAGTCAATGTTCCAGAAAATCTAAATCCAGATCGACGTGACTTTTGGCCTTGTTTGCTAGGTAGAATCGTTTCGCGTTCGTCGTCGGTCTTTTGTGCTGGGACATGGCCCGATCGTGACGCTTACCTCAACCTAGCTATTTTCTCGCCACAATCTTGTGTTATATGTCAAGATCCGTTTATCAATTCCTTTTCTCTTTACCATTTGTTATCCAGTGACCCGCAAACACTCGAGCTTTCAGTTTCTATTGGTAAACTAGTTTGCAAACTCACTACGAACTTAAACTAAAATTTCGGTCTCCGTTTGACGAGGCAAACCACAACATTCCAAGCTAGAAGTGACACCTTGATTTGGGGTCCTTTCTCCCAACAGACACATCGAGAACTTGAATACTTTTAGGTCAAGTATTCATATTTAGGTCAAGTATTCATTTACGCTACTCTCAGGTCAAATATTGATGTTATGCCATTGTTCATTGCACTAAAATTTCTCGAGAACGGACTTACTCCTCTTTGCTCCACATGTGGAAGAAGCCGACGACAGACTGTGACTAACAAGAACATCACTGTGGCTTGAAACGTCAGTTTGTAAACTCATGCAATTCTGAATGTCTGAGTTTGGGTTGTTGAGGCCTCAGTTCGGTTTCGATTTTCGGGCACTGTGTTTTCTGCCAACTGGACGCGGTAACATGTTTGTGTACGAAGAAGTTCTCTGAACGTGACATGAAGAGCATTTAAATTATCCAGAGCTGGCTTATAATGCTGCTTTGACCAGGCTGGTGCCTAAGTCTGTGTATCCTTCCGTACTCTTGACTTCCTTTCTCCATGCAGCTCCAAAACACTTGCGATCAACTCAAGTATTATTCTTGAATGAATCTACCGAGATCGTCTTGGATTTTTGGAGCTACTAGCCTATATCCCGGATAGGAACTCGATTACATGGATCGCTGTTGTGACGCCTACTGTAGCGAATGATCAGAGGAGAAATACAAGTAAATTCATTAGCAAAGAGTATCAATGTTGCGATCAATAGCGAGTGCGATTCCATCCAATACAAAGTTCCCAAGTTCGCCTTCGTCAAAGTCTTTGCGAAATCATCACGCTTTCTCCAACATCACGACAGACCGAGTCGGTAGACATTAGGATTAAGATAGTAATGTTCCATTAGATGCTTAGACGATGCATTCGTTCACCATTGCTCGCCAGCTGCTCGATTCGGGTGGATGCAAAGTCTATTTGACAGATGAGGAGTTTGCAGTCTTTCAACATGTAGCAGCAAACAAGCAGACTTGGGACGCATTCTGGACTGCTCCCAAAGACACTCTAAAGAAGATGGAGCCAAAAGGTAAGGATGGGCAGTCTGTCTCTTGCTATTTGCCAAACAATTCATGAATATCTTGACATTGGTTAAAACGTACACAATCAAACTGATTCAACCCAAATTTACTAATATATTTACAGCTAATTTATTGGTGCACGCCGAACAAGTGCGAGGTGATTATCCTCACTCGGCAAGATTCTATAGTGTAGCTGCTCTTCGTATTCGAGCAATGATATCCGAACAGTCCTTGGTCAATTTGGTCCCGATCCCTGATTCTGTATCGGCTCTGATCGTGCCTAATGATATCAATGATCTACCGAAAGCCTGGTCCAGTGTCGATCGTGACGATAGAGTAAATTATGGAGTCCTGCTTCCCCATGTTTCAAATGGTATCAGCCTTGTCTTGTTCAGCCCGTATGCCCCGATTTTGACATTCTTGCTCTTTACATTTATGGTAGATCCTCATTCTCTCACAATCCCCATTGACGACATGTACTATACGCTTGAATACAATTTGGAAGTTATGGAAGGCTACGAAGCTCTGAAAGTAGGCAAAGAACAGCAGTGGGAAGCGTCTCAAACGTATTAACAACTGATGTGGGTCGTCTATAATAGGACCGAGCAGTCTTGGAAGCGTCCATCGAAGAAAAAGTGCCAGTGAGAAATGAACCAACACCTATACTTCGAAAGGCTGCTCCTCCTCCAAAGGTAGAAAGAGTTCGTGCAACTGGTAGCTTGCAAATATTAAATACGTTACACTTTTCATTGGGTTAGGCTGCTCCTGTTGTGGATGTTCATGATAGTATAAAGTATCTTCATGAACTAATTGCCAAAGTAGTCGACGAACCAAAATCGCAAGAGTTGCAGTCCTTGTTGCATAAGGTTCGCCCAAGCAAATCGAAATGGGTACGATAAATCTTGGAAATAGCAGAGAACGAGTAGCTTCTCACTCCGTCGAGTATAGGCAAGTACCGAAAGACTTGGTCAAGAAGATCTATACGAAGCATGCGAAATGGTGCTGAATGAGCTGAAAGGTTACACGGTAAATTGCATATTGGTTATCGTGGAGACGGACGTCACAGGTAGCTCATGATTACTTTATTAGGATCATTCAACGCCATTTATGAAACCAGTCAGCAAGAAGGAAGCTTGGAACTACTATGATAGTGAGCGATTTTACCTTTCATCGTTATACTGAGCGGACGTGTGACTCTTTTCTTTTCTAGTCGTCAAGAAGCCTATGGATTTGGGGACTGTAAGCCACAGGTATTTTCTCATCGACTTGATCTGGTGCCTGACAACCCATATCATCATAGATGACAAAGAACCTCAAGAACAAGCTGTATCTGAGTAAACAGGATTTCTCAGATGATCTTTACCTCATTTGGTCCAACTGCATGTTATACAACACTTGGCCGGTACATATTTTACGTTTACTAGTATTCATGGATTCCGTTAACTTTGATGTGTTTTTAGGAGAGTCCATTTCGCAAGCATGCCTCAGCAATGAAAAGGAAAAGCACAGAGCTACTGAGAAAAGTGCCAAATATTGTGGTCAAAGTCATACCAGGAGAAGAAGATTATGAATCCGAGGATGACGATGGTCTGTTTCAGTGTGACGTATTTTTTCAAGTTTTCTTCTGCACAAATGCTCAATCGCAAACATTTTTAGACAAGGACGGCAGTGTAGCCGATCGATCAGAATCAAATGCTACAGGTGTTCCTGAAGTCGCAGGTTCTAGATTCTTAATGACCACATCCACCGCACCTGAACCGACACCGCAAGCCGAAACACCCGCTGCTCAAGCAGATACACCAGCACCCATGGACATGGATGATGATACAGGCGTTCCAGGAACACCAGTATCTCAAGGAAATGTCATGGACGTAGATGATGGTGGGGCAGATGATGGAGGTACATCACCAAAGGCCTCTAAGGCACCTGTATTCGGTGATGCTGGCAATGAAGATGGAGGCGATGGTACTGAAGGTGGTGGTGAGACTCCTAGAGGGAGCTCATTGCCCCCTGTCGAAATCGATGAGCCCACCGAAGGAGATTCAGAGAGCGTGCAACCACTCAACCCTCTAGCACGACGGAGTTCCAGTTTAGCTGAGTCAATTATCAAGATCGAAGAGCCAGAGGTGGATATTCGTGTACAGCCCACCAAGGATGACGATTCGTTTCGTATGATGCAAGCAACTAGAGCAGATGACGATCTGGTAGATGATGGCGGCCTTCAAATATCGCATTGGAAGAAGGCTACATTGGAAGTGAGGAGTCATCAATGGGTAAGACCTCGAATCTGGAAGTTCGCTTCATGATATTTGGGTTTGAACTTGGTTTCTAACTTTTTAGACGGAGCGAGGACGCCGACTCGCTATGCCAGTGGAAGATCGAAAATCTTTGCAACCATCAGCCGATGAAGTGAATGCGTCGTTTGAAGGAGATCTGTTGTATTTGGCACGAAATCGTCATCGACGAATAGGTCGTGCGGACGATGAAGGAAATGGTCCTGACATAGCCTATATCCCTGAGCTTTCAAGGGTGCCAATAGGGATTCCATGCTTGCGAAAGTTAGCATTAAACCGAGTAGTAGATGAATCGGCAGTCAAGTTTTATAATCTCGAATCTACAATGTTAGCATCAGTCTGTTTGTTCTTCCATATGCCTTAAAGCTAATTTCACGTAACCCCCCTTGACTAATAGGCAAGCACGGCAATCACAACCACATCTATCAGATTATCCGAATTTACAACCACCAATGAGTAGGCTGGTGACGATGTTTGCTCAAAATAAGAAGGATTTACGAAAAGTCAAGCAGATGGCTTCTCGCATTGCTTCTAGGCAGTCAGGAGCTTCTGGTACAGAGCTCCCTGTACCACGGAAGAGGAGGCAACGTTCCACGACAGAGTCTTTGCCACCTATAAATCTCGACTGTGGTGCTGCTGGTTTTGCCTTGAGACAAATTGTATCCGATTTACTGATTCACGCTGGCTTTGACAGTATGTTTGCATTCGCGGTTGGCGGTGCATTTCTTTTAGCTGATGTGAAACGTCTTTGGGTGGTTCAGTATTACCTCTTACAAGCAAACACCTCTGTAGGTGCTCATATGTCGGCGGTGTCTGTCTTGACCGACATTCTAATAACGCACTTCGGAAATCTGGGTCAATCACTTCGTATGTATATAGACAAGTACGGACGAAGCATGCCAAGTGACGAGATACTTCTTCACACCTTGGAAGAGAACGGTACTAGTACTGATGCTATGGATTCGTATATACGGAATGACATTCTCCGATATGGTGATAGGCTAGTAGGTCTGCAAAAGAAGCTTGAGACTGTGTATCGTCGTATAGATCCTGACACTGGAAATGCCAAATATGACGAATTTGATGTCGAGGAATGGATATCAGGTGCCGTCAGTGACGATATAGGAGCAGATTTATTATGCTTGCGAGAATTAGACGTTGGAGTCGATGTGATTCCGATAGACGTATGGAATCGTAATGCAGAGCATCCACTTCGACCCCGTCGCAGTGAAAGCCGGTTTGATTCTCCACGTTTACCAGCTAATGCTCATATATTGCGAAGTGGTAAATACGAGTCACCTGAACCATGGCCCATAGCAGATCCAGATGAACAAATCGGATTACTATCCAACTTTTTCAGTAGCCGAGCATCTCAACCTGATGGTCTTATTGATGATGAAGCTCGACAGCCACCAGCACTGAGTAGAGGTAAATTATCACTAAAGCTAGCACAGACTGTACGCAGGAAACCTCTAGAAACACTGGTCAAGAAAAGGCCGGTTGCTCCTATATCAACAGTACCCAATGGAGCTATGATCAATACTACGCTATCGACGCCTGTATCAGCAGAAGATTCCTCGAGTAAGAAGAAGAGGCCAGATAGTGAGGATGTTGTGGTTGAAGCTGATGTCAAGAATAAGAGAGCTCGTCGTCCTCCAAAGCGAGGTAAGAAAACATGTTACCGACATGGATCAACGATAGTGTACTGAACTTTGCTCTTTGATTCTAGTTGCCGAGTGATTACTTTACATATTTAACAATTTGTATTTGTTTGTAACATGCACGTATATAGATGCCGTACAGAGCTGCTAGTCACTATTTAACTATGCCGAACGTCTTGTATTGCAGGCTGGATAGCTCTCGTTCCTCAGTGAAGGAGAAGTTGTCAATGCGAGACTTTGGGGAACCTTTAGTCGACACCCATTCTTTGCTAGTTGAAAACGAAACAGTCAGATCACCAGGAGTGAATGGGCGACACGAATAATCACGTACAATAGGTCAATTTGACGTTTTGGTCCTTGAGCTATTCCAACGACAGATCCATCAGCATGATTACACACGGTTCCCTTAATGTCAAGTCTTTGAGCTTCTGCAGCCGTGTACTTTCTAAAGAACACACCTTTATAACGCGTCAATCAATAATATCATGAATTTGAGTATAAGCTCGTTCCAAGTTCGTTGAAGCGATCATGCAGCTACTCCCTGTTCTGGTGAATCAAACTTGCCTTGAACTTTGCCCGTTATTTTATACGTAACGGTCCAAAGGGACTCATGACTTTGGGACAAGGATTGGTCCATTGCCTATGCTGAACTACTCCTTCACCAGCTGGTTTTCATGTAAGTTGCTGTTTCATTCTCTATTTGTTGTTTTCAAGTTGATGTGTGCTTGACCCCGTTGCTAGTTGCAAAAATCACATAGATCTCATTATATATTTTATCAGAGTTCATAGACCAAAGTGCTCGTATCCGTCATGGCCGAGATCTCACGTGTAGACTGCAACATTGCCACATTACGGGACTTGTTGCCCATTATACGCAAATCCACTCAAGGACATGCAGTTGGATCACCTGCAAATGTTAAAACCTTATATCTGCATTCAAACCGTATCAAGACACTGGATCGAGATGTGCTCAGTATCCTGTCCAAGCTCACCATACTGGATGTATCCAGTAACTTTATCGACAAGATTGATGCGCTGGAGGGACTGAGCGTTTTGGTTGATTTGAATCTGTCTAATAATAAGGTACGGTTCAGATATTAAATTTTGGTTACCTTTCTGTTGGGGCCTCAGTTTCGCGTTGATCTAATAGATTCGACGTGTTGAAGGACTACGCAGTCTCCAGAATCTGAGACGTTTGAATCTCTCTTTTAACCAAATTAAAACTCTGGAAGGAATGGTGGAATTGCATGGAGACCACTGCTCGCTGCAGACATTGGACATTAAAGGAAATGAGATTGAAGAAGTGGATCAGTTGGCTTATATCGTTGGGTGTCCCGTAAGTTTTCAATTTCATCGTGCTTTCACTTAGACATGGGAGCTCATACGGAACGCACAATTAGCATTTACGAGAACTGTCGGTGAATACAGAGGGATTGTCGACAAGAGTCAATCCCATGTGTAAAAATGTGGATTATAGTCGGGCCACTGTATTTAGTATGCTACCACAACTGGTTGCTGTGGATGGTCAGGATGATGCTGGGAATTCGAGGTCGCGTAAGATCTTTCTCGGTATCCATTGTGCTTTTTTTGGTGCTGTGCTAAACAACTTGCACCTGTATAGCGGAAGATTTGCTGTCGGATTCACCTGATATCAGCAAATATCAATCGGTTTTCGATGAATCTGAATTCTTTTCAAGTGTCCCGATTCAGTATGTAGCGGACGATAAAAGTGCATTCAACAGTCTTCTAAAAACACCCCGATCTTTAGATGTTCAGCAATACCTCAGCATCGTACATCAAGACCCATTTCAAATACCCTTCCCACAACTCCCTCTATTGATTCGGCTCTAGCACGTTTTCGTGCTCCAAGGCCATCGTCAACAACGGAATCCAAAACACCAGATCGTGTGCTAGACGAGAGACTAGATCGATTAGAATCACGTCTGGACGATATACTCAAAGCCTCTCGTGAGAATCTAGCTCCTCGTGAACCTCTAGTATCAGCACCACCGCGGCCAGCATCTCCTCAAAAGTCGTCGTCACATCCCATGTCGTCAGCACAACCATCAGACCGTTTAACACGACTAGAAATTATGCTGGGTCAACTATTAGGTCGTTTTGAAGGCCCTGAACTGCAAGAGACCGTAAAACCAGCAGTTGAAAACAAACATGTCAATCCAGACAGGTTGGAAAGCTTAGAATCTCAGATGTCGACTTTGGTTGACTTTTTGGCTGGGAAACGAAATTCAAACATTCCTAATCCCAGTAAGAAGGTACTTCACAGATCTTCTCATCGGGATGATGAATCTGACGTGACAGATGTTGATGGTGGCAAGTTGTATGAAGCCGATCTGGAGGTGCAGAATTCGATTCTACAGGATGCAAGAACAGGAAAGAAGGCAAAGGGGGTTCCTTCTGTGACGGTCATAAAGTGATTACATTCGCTGATTAACACATGCCGTTTTTCGCTTTCTTGCTAAAAGCTGATCTCTATAGACCTCTGAGCAATAGTAAAATAACTCCGAATCTTGCATCATCGAATGCTAAACTGTTATCAGCTTTGGAGCAAGAAGAGAAACGATTACGAGGGAACGAATTGAGAAATGTTGCTCAATTGAGAGTATTGAACGACAATCTCAAAACACAGACTCATCGGGCTGATGTGGCGGAATCCAAGCTAACGGAGCATCAGAAGATGGTGAATCCTGAAATTTTCCTGAACCTGGATGGAACTGTGTGCTCAAAGAGTATCTGAATAGGTGGAAGACCAACAGAGAGAATTAGAGAGTGTCAATGCACAAGCCAAGAAGAGCGGCGAAGAAGTTGTCTCCTTGTCTTCCAAGATTCGTGACATGGATCAGCTTATAAACGACTTGACTGTGAGATTGGTAAGGTGTTTGGATTTTGCTTGTTCAAATCATATTCCCATTTAACGCGGATTTCTAGGCAACCGCATCTGAGAATGAGCGTAAAGCTGCTGAAGCTGCTGTTGCTCTGTCGTTTCTGGAATCACAACTCAAAAGGAAGGAAATGGAGTGCGAGCTGGCCAAAAAGTCGTCTTGTGACGCAGAGGTAGTCATAGAAATTTGAGATTGCAAAGAATTACTGCTCACATTTTTCAATTTAGGTTGCTTTGTCTAATATCGAAAGCAAACTACACGTGTCAGAGGCTGAAAAGAATCGTTTGTCTGTCCGATTTGTCAAAGAACGCGAACAATTCAAGGTCAAAATTGCTGAAGTCAAACGAGAGAATGAGATATACCAAACCACTATCAAACAGCTGCAACGCGAAGTCGGTGGGCTAAAAGATCAAATGGCTTCAAGAGATCACGCTATGCAGCAAAATCTGCAGGACCTGTATAGGTTGGGCGTCTGAAATCTTTGAAAGAAATCAAACCTGGTACTAATGGCGCCCTTTCACTCTTTAGTTCCCATGCTCATGAAGTCGATGCGGCTGTCGGAAGTGCCACTCATCAACTAATGGATCGGCATCGAGAGGAAACCGACATGTTGTCACGTAGTCTTGTGAGCACGCGAGAAGCGTATGCTGCTCTCGAAGAAGAATATCGTAAAGGCATCAAGGAAGAGCAAGCGAAAGTGGAGCAAGTGCAAAACATTCTTCAGGATACCAATCGGAAACTCAATGAGCAAACTCTGGTAAGTTTTGTGAATTTTTCACCCATTAGCGGGAACCCACGAATCTCATCGTCTTCATAATAGATTATAACGGAGGCTAGTCAGAAAGAGAATGAAATGACTGCCATGATTCGAGACTTGACAAGTCTAGTGAAAGAACAAAAGGCTCGGATTGCTGATTTGACTGAAAAGAATCAGCTTTCCTTTTCAGTCTTTGAGGTGTCTAGTCAATCAACGCTTGCTTTCCTTTTGGCTCCGTCCTTAACATGTCAGTTGTAGGAGCAAATGAGAGTCCTTGAAGCCAAGCTTCGAAGTGCACAACGAACAAAATCTGAAATGAAGCAGGCTCACAAAGAATCAGCCGCTTCTCAATCCGAGCATGTCGCAAGACGATTAGCTCTAGATTCTGCTGAAGCTGAGAAGGCCAGATTGAGCAGTGAGCTAGCAAATCAGGTAATTATTACAACTCATTTACTTGCAAATAGTAGTTCTGAGAGAATGTTATTTTATATAGGCAGTCTTGTTTCAACAAGAGAAGGCACGGCTCGAAACTCGTATCAAGCAACTGGAAGAAGAAAAGTCCAAGATTGAAAAGCAGTTTGAATCCGATGTGCAGGTATATTGTATAGTATTACGAAACCAAACTTTTTTTCACCCCAATCTTGGTAGGCTCTTCGTGTCAAGAACAAGATGTTGGATGATCAGAATGACACGATTCGGACTCTGAAGCAGAATCTCGAGAACAAGGTTGGCACAAGTTACTCCTGCCTTGATAACCTTTCAACCCAAAACACAACTTACTCTCCGACCGCAATAGACTCGAGAGCATCATCTTTTGGCTGGTGATGTTGAAAAGCGGGAGGAGAGGCTAGAAGAGCAATTGGCTATAGAGCATCAAGCGAACCGAGATATGCGTCGAGAGTTAGATGCTCAAGAGAAACTCGTTGAACAATTACAGTCACTAGCAGATGAGTATCGCTCAGAACGAGATGCTCTACGTAAAGAATACGTAGAAGTGACTCGTCGGCTCAAAGAACGGAATGACAGCATCCAAAAGATTGAGGAGGAGGTTGCTCGAGTGCGTGGTATCTTCAAGGCCAAGGAAGACAAGTTGATTCAAGAAAAGGAGAATGCGCTGAGAGCCAAAGATAACAGCATTGCGGATTTGAGATTGTCTTATGAGGTATGTCTTTTGATTTTCTGGCAAGCTTCGAACGATAGTTAATTAACATGCAATCCGGTTAGACTCAGTCAAGTAGGCTTGCTCTGCTAGAACGTGAGCGAGACGGTATGGCACAATCGCTTATGAATCTTCAGCACAAGCTTGAAGAAGCCACAGTCGACGTAAGTGGATGTGGGAGTCGCTGGCTGTTTTTGTCGGCACATCTCACACTCGATTCTTTCAAATATAGAAAAAGCAGCATGAATCAGAGATGCGAGTCTTGCTGTCTGAAATTGATCGTCAAAAGCACAAAATGGAAGCACGAATGGCCAAACTAAGAGTAGCAGTTCAAGAAGATTGATGTTGGTTGTACTTTTCTGTAAAGTAAATTAATATGTACTGTTGCAATTGTCGATATCAAATCATATTGTATATTGGATTTTGGTTGGTGTTTTACGTGGTGGTTGTTTTGCAGCTTTTCCGCTTTCATAATTTTGTTACAAAAAGTCACCACTCATTCCCACGATTCAACCCAAAGATGAGCGACGTTGACTCTGAGGAACTTCATGAAGGACCAACAATCGGTGTACGTAACCATTAAGACTCTTCCCGCTTCTCTTTGCATGTCTCAAAAAGCATGATGCAACAAATCGTAATTTGGAACCAGTTCTAACTTGATCTTTTACCGTTCGGGATATTCTAGACCTATGAGGGCGAACGTAATGACAAGGGTCAACGACACGGCCAAGGCAAGAACTTGTTTCCCAATGGGGACTCATATGATGGCCAGTATTCCGAAGGATTACGAGGTGGTCATGGAACATACAGATGGAAGGTCTCTGGTGCTAGATATGTTGGAAGCTATGCAGAAGACAAGAAGCATGGAGAAGGTCTACTAGTATATCCAGATGGAAGCAAGTATAGAGGTAAACCCCGTTGGCTTTTTCTTATGACTGGCATTGTACAGCATTGTAGTGGACCAAACGGTGTCTGAAACGTATTGTATGTAATAGGCGGCTTTGTTGCTGGCAAACGAAGTGGTTTTGGTACTTATTTGTATGCAAATGGTGATGTCTACAAAGGTAACTTAGGTGTTTGAATCCCCCATATCACAAATACTCTTGGACTAATAAACTGACGTTTAATAAGGTCATTGGGAAGATGATGCAAAACACGGACCAGGTATGATGGGGTTCATGTATTTATTTCGACGCGATCTCATAGTTCCCATGCATCAATAACTCAAGTCCTATATTTGAATCCAGGAGAGTACACTTACGGTGCTGTTGGAAGCACCAAGAAGGGCATTTGGGTTCACAATATGCTAAATGGATCTGGCCAAATCATTCATGCCGATCATCACATTTCTGGACACTGGGCCTCTAACGACCTTATGGTTCGTACACGAGCTGGATGACTGAGAGTTTCCTTTTTGATTCGTTATAACCAATGTAATTATGCTTTAACACTTCTTTGTCAGGTTGCACCCGTTAAAATCACCTTCTTGTCAACTGGTTATACCCAAACTTGTGCCAATCCCATCTATCTCGGAGTCGCCGCAGTCCCATCCGAAATCACAGCCTAACCGTAGTCTTGTCACATTTGTGAATTTAATCTATATCCAAAATAACCATTCAAACTGTTTGATCAACGAAAGTCTGGCTTTTAAGGTTGATCAAAAACGCGTTCAAACAGGTCACTGTTACAGTCAAATTAAGAAACGATGCGATAAATGATTTTGATGTTTGATGAGGTCCTAGTCTGCTGAAAAAGCTAGAACGGCTTGAGTCAGCCAAAGCAAAAAACCCACACTCTAGAAAACGCCAATCACGCACATTCAAAATCAAAAAGCCGACAAGCACTATCGGGCCTCGTGCATCGCCAACATGGATGCAGTACGCGCTAGTGTCACGAGTATGACACGAAATTCGCAGCGTGATATATCAGTTATGCTGACGGAGCATGATATCGATTCCAACATTGGTGTCGGAGCTTCTGAGGACAAGGCATCCCACGCGCCTGTTATAAGGTCACGTAGCAGCTTTGCCTTCCACCTTAATGGAGCCACGTCAGCAGGCAATATCGTGAAAAGTATGAGCAAACGAAACTTAATTGGACCAGATTCTCGTCGTATGCGGGAGGAATCGACAGATAAACTCAAGGAAGCTGCTGCAAAGGGTCATGATGATTTATTCTTGTGGGAAATTTCACAAAGTTTCTCTTCTGTCTGGAATCATCCTATATCCAGGTTAGTTTGTTTTGAACTCTTCAAAGCAAAGTCGACGCAGTTTGAACAACTGGGCTCAATTAATGCTGATTAGGTGGTATTTCCTAATGTTTCTCTTCTTTACCGACCATCATCATATCTACGTGAGTGTGACGAAACGTGTTGACTAGAAACTGTAAGCTGGACTGACCAAAATCATATATCATGACAGTTCTTTCGAATGGATGCTATTCAATACCGAGCTGAATACCACAATCTGCATGCTTCCGCCCGCAGGATACACGCTCAACGCATATTCAACCAATATCTCGGTCGAACAGCAGCCCTCCCCGTGAAATTGTGGAAGGTGGAAAAGATTTCAGTCAGGAAGGCCATCGTAGCCTGTCAAACCAGCTTGGATCATCCTGAAGCAGGCCTTTTCGATGATTTGGCATACATCGCTTTACGAAATTTGGAGAACGTACACGACGGATACTTGGGTGAAGAATCCAATGGAGTTAGCAAAACAGATGCCAGTTGTGATAGTTTAAAGAGCTTGAACGATCACGCTTTGAAATCGTTTCGAGAGAGTGCATTTTATCAAGCTATGCAGAACGATTTACGTAAGTCCGAAAAGAGAATCCTTCGTCGAGAAGCTGGAGCTCAGACTTTGTCTATAGGTGGAACACGACAACTTACAACGGTACAATACCAACGAGCTGCAGAGAGGATAATGGATATGCCTCCAGGCTACTTTGACGAACCTGAAGTTTGGGAAAAGTTTGCATGTGCTGTAGAAGCTATGGGTCTAGATTGTGAAGCATTCCGTCAACGAGTCGTGACCGAGAATGCCAACGCAGCTCTGAAAAGAAGAAGGGTATGACGCATGTCGCGAGAGTGAAATATTTGCCAGTGGCTTTACTGATTGTCTTTGTTTTGGTCCTAGTCTACCAACACACCAGTACATCGTGTCAAGAGTTCCACATCTTTAGCCTCATCAGCCAAAACAGCTACAAACAATGAAGACACTGATGCTGTTTCCATCAGTAATTCTACTGCAGAGTCGTCTGCTACTCCAGCCAAACTAAAAGACCCAATGAAACGTGACAATCCTCGACCCGTAAGTCCTTGAAGCTTTCCGCAGCATTTAGTTGCGACTATGAACTTTTTTTGTGCTAGGCTACTGCAGGATTAGCTTCAGACCGTTCTGATCTGGAGCACACGTTTGTGCAATACGTCAATCACGACGTCAACTTTTGCGAGTACTGTTACAAGCGACTTTTGCACAATGGTGACGAAAGTAATGCAGCTTATCGCTGTGAAAGTGAGTATGACGTGTTCTGTTCATCCTTGGTATTACTCTCACCATGTTTTATACAGCATGTCGATACGTTTGTCACAAGGTCTGCAGATTGCAAATGCGATTATCTTGCATCAAGACTTCGATTGGAGATGATGTCGCCACTGAAGGAGAAGTTCGTATATGCAACGCAACTGTTGATTTCCATACAAGTCTCTTTATTAAGACAACTATCGATTTCATAGGAAGGAACTGAAAAGCTACGACGAGTAGCAGACAAGATTCAAGCTCTCCAGAAGGAAATCGACATAGAAATGAAGATTCGAGATGGTCTAGAAAAGGTCATATTGGCACGTGGAGGTCTTGGAGGTCCCAAAAACAAGAAAGCCACACCACAGGAGATTGAAATGGCTGCTCAAATGGACAAGTCCAATAAGAAATTGGATGTATTGAAACACGAAATTCAAAAATGCAAAGCCCAACTGGCCGCTTTGAGCACCGCTCAAATCGATCGTACGTTGACAAACTCTTCGTCGTCTTCAACACCATTGCCAACTTTACCAGTTTCAGTGACAAGCGCCAGCATGTCCACTTTCAACGCATCAAGTGTATTACAACAATCGTTTATGGCTGAAACTGGCACATCCTTTATTTCTGGAGCATCTATGACGCTCACATCACCAATGCAAGATATGCCAACCGGTATGGTCTTCCAATTGGGAAGCCTAGCATTCACATCTGATGGACCTCTGTCTCCCTTGTTTTCTGGTACAACGAGCACAAGTCATGAGGGCGACTTAGTCAAAGTATCAATGACGGATACTACAAGTAAACTCAAGTCGACCGGATCCTTCTTCTTGCCAGCGGAATCTACAGTCAAGGATTTGATTGGTACAGCGCTCGAAAAGTTGAATCGGGGTGCGAAAGTTGAATCCTACAATATGGTGTCCATAAACGAGCAGAACGGTATGTTTTGATTCGACGATGCGGCTGAACTCACAAGCAAAGATAACTCATACTCTTACACATTTCGCTAGAGGAAGTGCCTTTACGCTATGAAGATAAACCATCAAGACTCGGAGTTGACTTGGTTCAAACAACTTTCGATCTTCGCCTAAAACAACCTGAACCAACTGCTAAAACAGTCGACGACTCTGCCGATGCCAAACGTACACAAAGGCAGAAGGAAGTCCTTTACGAGCTGATCGACACCGAAATCAACTACGCTACGGACTTGAAGCATGTCGTCATTCTCTTCTTGCGACCTTTGACGATGTCTGGTTGCATGAACGAAGCCGACTCCAAAGAAGTCTTTAGTAATATAAGACAAATCGCTGATTTACACGAAGGACTTGCTGGTGAAATGACCAAATGCAAGACCGACCCAATTGGCCATTTGAATGATATAATCAAGTCTCTGGAAACCAGAGTGGAGGCTTTCGCCATGTACACCATATACTGCTCCAACCAACACAACCAACGCCGAACACTTCAAAAACTTCGAGAGGACGGCACATTCTCCAAAGCTTTAGCTCAATGTGAACTGACACCAAAGCTTCAAAAATTGGGCCTAGCCGATATGCTTGTCAAACCCATGCATCGTGTAACTCGATACCCAATCCTCCTCAAACGTCTCCTATCATACACCAAACCGGAATCACCTGAATATTATAGTATCGATTCTCTCATTTCCCGTATCGAAGAGAAAGTCGGTGATGTCAATGAGGCTGTAAGGAAGCGAGAAGCAGAATTCAGAATCCATCTCATAGACGAGAAGATGGACTTTAATGGAGTGGTTGAGAAATTCAAATTGGCCAATGGTCGACGAGAACTTGTTTCCGAGAAGCCATTCACATACCACAAAAAGAATGGGCAAGGTGGAGCTGAAGTATTGGTCTTCACATTCACCGATTTGGTGCTTATAACAAGGAGCAAAAAGGATGAGAAGATTGTCTTGTTTAAACCACCCATACCGTTTGAAGCTGCAGTATTTTTAGATAAGCCAGACGTTCCAGGTAGAAGTCATTTACATTTTATGATTGAATCAACAAGCTTTTTTGCTCCAGAACTGAACACTAACACTTCTCACTTCGTTAGATATGAAGAATGTATTCCAGATAGTCCACCTTCAGCAAGAAATACACACCATCCAGACTGTCTCCTCCTACGACAAGAACAAGTGGCTGCAAGAGACCAACGCTCTCCGAACAGTATTCTGTGACTTCTACTTCAAGTTTGAGCAAGACCTGATGCGGAATGCAGCCACCCGTTTCCAGGTTGATGGTGCTCCATCTGCCGAATCATCAAACCCGCCATCACCAGCATTACAACGCAAACGAGGACACACTGTCAATAACGTATCGACACGCGAAGTCGCTTCATCACTCTCAACCTCTAACCCTCTGGGATCCAACAACAGTCTGAGCAATATGAAACGACAACCGTCGTGGACGAATCTATTTGGTGGCAAGTCAACTCCAGCACCGGCAGCAACCCCCATTGCTGCTTCTTCAGCTGGTGCTGATGTAGATTCGATTTTGATGCCAGCCATGCCCGTATCTCGACAAGCTGGTATCATAGGAGCTTGGAATCCAGCTTCAGATGCCATTCGCAGATCCGCCACCCATTCGCCAAAATCATCAAAGGAAGACTTGACTGGTACTAGACCAGCACGAACTCGTGCAGCAACTGAGGAGAGACGAGTCGACACGTCGTCCAATAGTAGCAGCGAAGCCAGTACTGCAGCCTCCACTCCTGTTTCTTCACATATGGCTTCAATCGCTGGCAGTGGCATCACTCACAAAAAGTCGGCCTCAGTCGGATTTAGATTTGGGTTTGGATATGGTTCGAATAGGCCTGAGAGCAATGGACGTGAAAAGGGACCGATGACACCATAAGACTGTATATTATGTAGTTTGTTCAAATCAAGTGTTTAATAGAGCAAAAGTGTTTTGATAGTGACAATAGGTTGTGGAGATAACTTCCTGCTTTGGTCGACCCCATTTCCTCGTCTTTATATGATCTCGGACTTGGAGCATACTAGGATTATCCTTTGTGCTTTCATATTTTAAAGGTGGGTACTAAAGACAAGAACTACAACTGAATGATGACCACTATAATACCGGTATAATCTCTTCTTTAAAAACCAACAGGGTAATCTTATTATTATAACAGGACCTTGGATTTGCCTCAATTTGAATCTTGATAGTACATGGAGTCTTTAATTGGATACTAGGCTCTAGTTTGCCTTTGAACTCAACAGAAATGTAGATGACCTGTACGGTAAACTCGCCCTCTTTATAGTCACGAAAAACTAAAAACCTCAGTAGCATAAAAGGAGCACTTGTCTAGATCTTGATGTTCACAAACACAACATGTAGAAAATATAATAGACCTTCCATTCCCTCCCTACAAATCAGTCCAACCAGTTCGATCATTCTAAAGTAGTTCTACTCCAACGGATTTACACACGTTATTACGACTTGCACACATTTTTACAAATTTGCAGACATTCCTTCATCGCCACTGTAAACCATTTACACGTCTAACCCCTCGTGGCGACTCGAAGACCTATTCTTCACACATCAATCTAAGTTAAGGGTATAATAAATACGATTCTTCCATACAACCACAACTCCCACGACCCTTTCCAAACACTTGGTTTACTTGATATGTTGTAGCTGTTCCTCCAACCTTCTAGCAGTAATACGAGGCTGGCCCTCCTTTTCAGAAGATATAAATAGCGATGCCATAGATAATCGGTACATATTAACACGACTGACGTTATCCAGAGACCATCGATACAAGTTCAAGCAAATCCTCGACACCGCATTACAAGCACGGGCGACAGCTATTCGTTCCGCTAATCTCAAGCATTCTATAGTAGGCATCCTATTATTCCTACCAACTTGAAGATATTGCAGGTGCTCCATCCGTGTAGCCATCGCTTCTATAATGTCATCGTCACCACCAGATCTAACTACGAGAGCTGCCAAATTGGGACACGAGTTGATGATTATGTCCGGTGTGAGAGAATCCGAGTTGCTATAGTCGGTTTCCCAGTACTCAATCTTGAGACTGTGGAGCTGTTTGCCACAACGAGCGAGTATGGTTGCCACTTGGGAAGAGTTGATGGGTAAGCCTAGATCCCGGAGGCTTCTAAAATTATAAGTGTGAAGGTCCCTAGTTATATCGGGCAAGTGCAATGACTTGAGAGTTACGGCGTGGCTTTCGACAACCGAGTCCAATACTACACTAGAGTCTTCATGGTCTTCGTCGAGCAATCGAATGCTTAGATGCTCTAGTCGGGGCGTGGAGTTTACAGACACCAGTGATCTCAATACAACACTTTCACATAACAGACCAATACCAAAGCAAATATCGACCTTCTTTAGCTTGGAGAACTGCGTGAAATCCCAACATTCAGTCGAGAAATCACTCAGAGTCCTTCTATATCCATGCTGGAAGTTGAATGATTGTAGAGTCTGGGTACTCTTAGCTCGCAAGGCCAACAATCCAGATTCAAAGACTTGACGAGACTCGGGCCAAGCGATAAACCGGGAATCAAATGTCTCCACCTTCATGATTCTCATAACCTTCAATATAGATTCCGGGAAGGCATATAGATCTAGTTTAACTTTTACGGCTTTATTTCGAAGTTGGAATTGTCGAATCATGGTGTAGTCCAGTTGTTCATCAGCGGCAGTTTCCTTGTTTCTGACCTCTAGAGTGATGGTCTCTAGATTACAGGCACGTAATAGGGTAGCGGCAAAGTAGTCGGTGACGTGAATGGAACGTAATTGGCATCGTTCCAGCAACTTTTGGATTCGAGCAGCGTCGAGAATCAAGCCACCACTAGATAAAGAATGAATTACGTTAGTTGAGCAGTAATCCAAGTGTTTCAAATCTTCTTTTGGCACAACACATTAAGGTTTTTCTGACCCATCACAAAGTTTCAGCAACTGACATGCATTAAAATTTTCAGGATGCCAAGCACGTACTGATCTTTATAGTCATTCCCGATCTCTACACCCTCAGGAACACCACCAAAGCTCAATCGCTTGATGTGTTTTAATGCGTCTTGACCAAACCCATTATTCGTTGCGTTAGATAAGATAAGATCAAGATGGCGACGGCTGAAGCGCGATCTGTTGCCAGGAGGAGGAGGGAGGATCTCGTAAAGGAGTCGAAGTGCCTAAAAATTGACAACGAATCGTCAGAAATCTATTACATTAATGCAGATCGTTCCTTTAGCATCAAAAACTTACACTTTCGTTCCAGGTCTTTGAGACCAATGCACAAGCATAGAGAGATTTAAGGTCTCTATAATTAGATAAATACGTGCGATTGACTGCCTGCTCAAGAATCGCGTCGATTATTTCTACTGGGAACATGACCATCTTGGTATGAATATATATATTGGTTGATGGTTTTGAAAAGCAGAAGGTTGAGAGAACGGGCAAAGAACAAGGTTGCTCAGGCATGTAAATAATTCTGGAAGGCATTATAAGCATATGGATCTAGTATTCAGACTTAGATCTACGCCTGAAACGCGTACATCATCGTGGATCTATATGCAAAACACGATGAATTTCTATTTAATTAATGATTGAATCCAAGCCGATAAACCGTAGACGATCAAGACGATCAAGGTTGATTTTCTGCTAGTCGGATTTGGCCTTCTACCGGTAACTCACTAACAGCCTTTTCATGCTGAAACTTCCACATGTCAGCAAATTTTCAAAGCATGTGAATACGTGAGGGAGCCGTGAAAGTTTTGTTTCATCGTAGAGGCGCTGGTACGTGTATGGCATGTCAGGTATCATGAATGGGGTTTAACACGTCGGAACTCCTTTTTTGGAGCTTGGATCAAGTAGAAACCACGAAATTCTCCAAAAGTGTTGAATCATTTGCAAACCAGACACCATAACAAGAGTCTACAGCTCAGTGACTCTGTAAAACTTATGTCTTTATCATGAATTGAATCTCAATGTAGAGCGACCGCATGGGATTATACGTGGAAAACCGTGATCAGAAATATTCTGGACTTCTGCGAATCTACATCACCAACATTTTCAATGAAAACACGATATAGAAATAGAGCTAACTTCTCGTGCATGATCTATGATCTGAACAAGGATCATATCATAGCCTAGCCCAATACCAGTCAGTATAAACCGTTGTTCCGAAAAATGCTCTCAAGGTTGTGTGTGACTTGGTGCACAGCACACACTCCTGAGACCAGCCCCAACTGCCCGAACCGTATATAAAGAAGATGTCTCTCTCTAAAGCTTGGAGTTCAGCTGTAACAGCATGCAGCAATCACATTGGCGATACTGCCACGTATGTATTGTTTGCCACTATTGCGTTAAAGGCCTCTGCAACAGTGAGTGACCATTTTGTTACAAACTTGCCCAAGATTTTTGATTTCAATGACGACTACAATCGTGAGAATAACAGCAATTTTTGTTTCCCTAGTACAATGCCGTGTTATTCCACGAAGCTGGTAATTATCAACATCCCACGTTTAATTATACTCTGATCTCAACGATCTAACCGTCCATGTACTTGTAGCTAAACGCGGATGGTGGAAGGAATACCGTATCCAGCAAAAATATGTCGACACTGAAATCACAAACAAGGCCGTTGACGAGAAAGTCGGAATGAATTCAATTCCTTCCTTGATCATGCTCGTGGCTCCATTCTCAGTCCTACAATACAAGATCTTGCAATACGCTTATGGATTCAACATCCACAAGATGCCAACGAGCGCCTTAAAGTTCTGGAAGGACTTTTTGCTCTTGACCGTAAGTACAATGCACATCCTTGAACCAAGTACACTTATGAAAAATGCTGATTTTTGTCATTAGGTTGCGTGGGATGCAGCCCTATTCTTCATCCACTTTGGGCTTCACAAGATCCCATACCTTTACAAGACCATTCACAAGAAACATCACGAGTTTAAGGGTATGTCTGACGCAAAGGTTTGGACTTTCTCGTCATTCATTTATGCCGTATCTTCACAGTTGTTGAGGTATCCGTTGGAGGTCACTTGACGCTCATTGATCACTTTTTAATGGACCGACTTCCACCCTTGATTGGCATGCTCGTAGCGAAGCCAGACTTTGCTCCAATGGTCGGTAATCTTTAGGCGTATTTGCCGTATATCTGAGCTCATGCTTTCGCATTATCTTCCTCAAAGATCGCCTTCCTTGCCTTCTACTACCACATTGCGTCAAGGGCACATTGTGGATATGAATTACCGTGGGACCCTCTTAATTGGTTTATGCCATAGTAAGTTTATGTTTGAAATGGTTGAAATGGATCTCGAATTAGGAATTAAGCACTATCGAGTCTGGTGTTGTTGTTGTTTTCGACCTTTTGTGAGCACATTTGACTGACTATTTAACATTTATGAATTCAGCGTCCGTAACCACGACTACCACCACGAAAACACCCACTGTAAGCATCGCATAACGATATTCTATCTGCTCATTGTATATGTGGTGTTGTGTATTGTGGTGTGTTGTACTGACAAGGAACCCTTTCTCTAGCAAACTACCAAACTCTATTCTTTTATCTGGACTATATTGTCGACGGCTTTGGTAAAGGAAACCGAAACTTCTGGAAAGTTACTGCCGACCGAAGGGAAGCTGCCAGACAAGGAAAACTCGTCGTCGAGAAACCCAAGTTTGTAGGCACAGAAGAAGACGTGCCAGAAGAGTTGTAAGCAGAAGCAAATAGAACCTGTGTAAAGAGAGGAAGGGTGGAAGAATTGTGCATTGTTTTAAAAAAATTAAAAGGTCGTCTAAATAACAAATTAAATGGATTTTATGGTCAAAGTTCATTTAATGAGTGAGATTTAAGCTGACTTTTGTACCATCTCAACGTCATTCTGAGACGCTAGTTTCTTCTTGTCGTAATAATGTTTCAGAAACAAGATAATCGGAATGTCCAGCACCAGTACCGAGAACCTAAAACCAAAAACGAATTTAATCACCAAACTCCCCAGCGAAGGGCAGTTTGATAACCACTTACAGTATCCAACACCCAGGAAGGAACCTTGGAGCACTTGAATCAGGGAACAGATATGGTGAAGTTATTCCTCCCAAGTTTCCTAAACCGACCACACCGGCTATAGCGACTCCAGACGCCGTAGTCCCTTTCGCTGTGTCCAGACGCCATGCGAAGAAAGGTATGATCGCAATGTTGACGGAAGTTGTCAAGAAGACTGCAAAGTATCGAGCTCCCACTGTAGATGTCGTTGCCCTGCCAAAAAAGAGTCAGCATTCAGGACATTTTGGGTTACCAACAGTTACATCGCCACTTTTACATACAGAATCAAGTAGCCTATAGCCATCGAGACGATTCCCGTTATAATATGCTATTGGAGACGTATTGTTAGCAACACTTCCCAAAGTCCAACACAGTTTCCAATATTACTGACCAGCCCTCTCTCCTTCGTTTTGTCACTGTGATAACTCCAGAAAAGAGTCACTCCAAATCCAAAGAGATTAGTCGGTATGGTCAGCAATTGTGCCACATAAGACTGGAAGCCCATGTTTTGAATGATTGTCGGACTGAAATATCCTTGTCCGTTATTAGCATTGTTCATTAAAAAGTCTAAATTCCAAAGCTCGATCAGCATTTTGAACAATTGTAACATAGACTGGGAACACTTACAAGCAAACACCCATAGCCACCATATGGGATCAAGCAAAATCTCTCTTAGTTCTGACCATCTGAAATGGGGCGACTCCATACTAGGTGCATCAACAGGTAATCTTGAAACTGCCACTTTGCGTTCACTGTCTGTTAAGAACTTGGCTGTTTGTGGAAAATCTGGGAGTACCCAAAACGTTGCTATACCCAAGAGTACGGATGCTGATTGTATGGAGATTGTTAATTTACAATCAAAGGAATCTGGCAAAAACATTTACGTACGAATTCCTTCCTATATTTCGCAAGTAAGGAGCGTTAGAGTGTCATGCCCGAAGTTTCCCAAATTTTGAATCCTAAATATCACTTACGAAGATAAACAGCCACTGCCAGCCCTTGAGCCCACCAATTCCATTCATGAATGAGATACAAGATGCCAGTAAACCTCCGAAAGCTCCCGAAAGTGATCCAGCTATACTAATAATAGCTAATCTCGTTGCTCGTTCTTCAGATGTGTACCAGAATGAGATGTAATAGCCGATTCCAGGATAGAAACCTGGATAGAAATCTCTCTTAGCCTGTGAATATCCTTTATTGGCTACACAATCGCCTCAACGGGTCGACCATGTGAAAATGCGAAATATGTATACAAACCTGCTTCCAGCATTCCTAAAACCAATCTAGCAACAAGCAATCCAGCAAAATTCTTGACGGCAGCAAAACTCATCGCACATATACCCCAGAGGAACATTATTCGAGTAAAATGAGCTGATGGGCCATAGCGCAAAAGAAGATTGGATGGAATTTCAAACAAACAGTATGTTATGAAGAATACGGCGACAGCAGTGTTGAATTGCGTTCCAGTTAAACCGAGAGATTGAGCTAACGAGTCTCCAGTCTCGGAGTTGGCGATCTAAAGAGAGTATACGGGTCTTTAACAAAAACGAATCGATAACTCGTTGTGTGGTTTATGTAGGTGCTGCGACACTCGTCGTGGGGTTTGTGTTGATCTAGTTCAGCAACCCGACATCAACGCTCTCCCGACGAGTATGCATAACGATGCACCGAGTTTGCATACCTTTGCATTCCCCAAATTCGTTCTGTCAATGATAGAAAAGATGTAGCAGATAATCAACCATGGCAGTAGTTTCTAATGGGGTTTGGCAAAATGGATGTAAGTCACTCATCAAGACACATTTCATAGAACGTTTCCCGACTAAACGATCAACAAGGCCACCGGACATTGACATACCCAGTCGATTTTCTTGACAACAGCTTCCTCGACGGCTGGGTTGACAATTGCTTTTTCAAAGTCATCGGATTTCGCCAGTGGCACATACTGTGGGAGCGTCATCTCCGAGGGTGGTGTCAGTGTTTGTTCTCCGAGATCGGCGCTCTTTCTGTCCTCGTCCATGTGAGCAGTTGGCTCATAAGGTGCTGAGCTGTTTGACGTGTGAGAACGTTGTGCAGAGCAGATGTCGGCAAATGTTTACATATTATATTATTGAGTCAACCAACTGGCGAATTACAATACTTTAAGTATAATACGGTTCTTATTTGTTCGTAGCAGTAACGACAGGTCCTGCTCCCCAACTAATGTGATGTCTCGTCCAATCTCATCCTTATAACATACACCATTTTTTACTCGTTCGGCTCCTACTCGGGCCACAATCTGCTTCATAAGTTCCGGATAGTCGATATCCAACGGTATCTTCAAAGCGAGAATGTCCTCGTCGTCGATTAGCTTCACTTTTACACTAGTTGGCTGTACTTTCTGAGCGTCGTCACCTTCTTTTGCATGCTGACCAGCAGGCTCTCCACCTTCCTCATCCCCTGCCCTGAGAGCTAAAAAGTACGTTACTGCCTTCGACTGCACGACTTTGGCAGGCAGCCTCACCAATTCATACAGATACGTGGATAGAGCCTCCCGCCTACTCAGTACTATATCCTCGGATACTTCAGTGCTCTCGTGAGCTGCCGGTAAAGGCAGAAACGGTATAGTCCTAGGCTCTGTCCTTCGTCCAAATTCGCTTGGGAAGTTGGAGGATAGCGACATCTGGAGATTCCAAAAGTCTTCAAACGACCGAGATAATACGAGCCTGGAGATGCCGTGCAATCCAAGAAATTCACATTTATATATCTGATCTTGCACCTCGTGACCTATTATAGATGCATAGCACATTGGTGTACGTGGTAGTGTCAGAGGGAGCGGTGGCAGAGGTACTGTCGGAGGCGGCTTCGGGCTTGACGGATTCCTTTTCACAGGCATACTGGATAGTGCCGGCACAGTTGGGGATGTCGTTGCAGATTTTGGACTGGGTGGATTAAGATGAATAGAATCAGATAGAGTCGGTATAGATGCTTCAGTAGTCGTGAGGCTGCTAACGGAATCAGATAATGTCGGTATAGAGGGAAAGGCTGGTATAGCTGCTTTTCTCGTCAGAGACTCGTTGGATCCAGCCCGGTGCGTCGTATGAGGTTGCGGGCTAGGAGATTTAGACCTAGAGGCGGATATGTATCCAGAATCCGCTCGGCGAGCCTGTCCAGCATCGTGAGGGTTGCTGTTTTCAGGGTACGCATAGTCACGTTCGATTACAGCGATGTTACTAGGAATGAATCCGTGCTTTGGTGCCTTTGGATCCACGCCGATGACTTCGTAGTAGAAGGACGTTTGATCGACCACCTATCAGTCCAACGGATTAGCATGCCAAGTTGTAAGTGCGTGCTTGGGTGGCTTCCCATTACTCTATGACAAACCTCAAAGATGTCTCCAGCTTTCACATTAAGTTCCTCCGTGTACTCGGGAATCCAATCTTCCACGACCTTAATCCTGTAAATCGGCTTCTTTACAATCGATTCGTAGCTTGATGGTCTCACATCTTCAACTTCCAATGTGGGTACTGGTTTGTTTCCTTGGTCCAAGAGTAGAGAGTGGCGAATAGAAGCGTCCCTGGATATTGTACGTGCTGGAGGCCATTGAACCTCCTTCGAGCTGGTCATTCCGTTCGCTTTGATTAGAACGACCGAGTGTTCGAATTTGTCGGTGTTTTGTGCGTTTCTTGCTATGGAAGCTTCACAACACAGCTACAAATCCGAGCCGCGTTGATGCCAAAGATTCGATATGTGGCATATCAAACGATACTGACTGCTCTCGGCGCGACTGCATCGCTTGTCGACGTGATTTTTATTTTGGTGGTTTCTTGGCAGCTACAAAACCGTCCCGATTCTACTTCCCTGTAGCCACTAAAACGTGATTTCGCTCGTTCAATACAATAATCACGTAGATTTCTGTCTGAGCTTTGTCCGCTTCTGGGCAGGTTTTGAACAAAGTCACCAAATCTTAGTTTCAGCACACATCTTGAACAAAGACCGACTAGAATGTCATTTGAAAAGTTCAGTCTGGCGGATGCCCTGGAAGACCTGTCAAGGTATGCAGCTATGTAGTGATTTGTCATAGCAGATTAAATCTCTTTTCTATTGTTTACAGTCTAAAAAATCCATCATCGTTTTAAACATTCCAATCTTCAATTCAGTCGTTTCATCATCAATGTCACGGAATCAGAGCTATCAAAGACCGAAAGAATATGCTTTCATATCGAGCAAGCTCATTGGTTTTACGAGGACTTCGTACGAGAACAAAATCCAGCTCTTCCACATCTTGAATTGGATCGATTCATGCAACACCTGTTTCAACATTGTAAATCTTTGGGTGTCCTTGGTGGGGATCCTCATGCTGCTTATGCCAGTTTCAGGAGATACAAGAGAACTGTCCCTGTTTGTGGAGTCATTATACTAAATCAAAAGATGGACAAGGTAATATTTCGTTCTGGTCACGTTGATACAGCAGATTACACGTGTTGATATTACGAAACTCTCTTCGCCTACCTCGAGATTGAGCCTCGCCAGCTTGTCCAACCACTGAACCAAAGAAAAGCTAACACCACTATCAATTAGGTCCTACTTGTAAGACAATGGACATCCAAAACATGGTCATTCCCAATGGGCAAAATCAATGAAGCAGAAGAACAAGTAGATTGTGCTGTCCGAGAAGTAGAAGAAGAAACGGGATTCAACTGCTCTAGATTTGTTTACAATGATGCTTTTCTCGAAAAATCCATCAGTGGCAAAGAAATACGGCTGTATTTCGCTGCTGGAGTACCAGAATCAACTGAATTCAAGACACAAACACGTAAAGAGATTAGTGGGATACGGTGGTTCAATGTTGCTGCCCTACAAGTCGATAAACGTAAACTGCATCAACAGCAGATACAGCAACAGGCAAATGTGTCGGCAGCAAGTAGTGGGAAATCAAAATTCTATCTGGTGAATTCATTTGCAGATGACATCATAAAATGGTGTAAAGAAAACAGGAAACGAGTGGCTGCTAAGGAAAAGTTAAATACTGCAATCGCTGCTGCCGCAGTCGCACCTAGAATAGAAGAAAGTACTACTAGCGTAACTGTGGTGGTTGAAAACACCAATATGATAATGCAGCAAATGCCATACCATCCGCCACTACATATGATGAACATACCACCTCAACCACAATTTATAATGCCACAACAACCACAACCAATAATGATAGACCCGTCAATAGCGCTGAAAGCTGCAATTGGTGTCGGAACAGAGTATAGAACAGCTACTCGTGAAATGCCCCGTGTAGAGACTCTACATAGTGCTCGAGATTCGTTACTGACGCTATTGGGAAAGTCGAGTCAGGTAAGTTGACAACAAAAAAAGCCACGATTTTCTTGATCAATGATAAACCATTGCCCTCGTAGGAACCACCACCTATACAGCCTGCTGTCATCCCTACTAGTGTTCCAGAACCTCCCAAACAGGTCAATGAGAAGCAACAATGGTTGATGGACTTGTTATTGGGTGGCTCGCAAACACCAACATCTGAACGTACTAGTATCACACAACCATCAACTACCTTGTTGCCGAGACCTAGTCAAACGTTGCCCTCAGCGCCAGCCCCAATAGAAGCGCCAAGATTGCCAGCCAAACCTGATTCAGCAGCCTTGCTTGATTTATTAACAGGAAGATCGTCAGCTACTAGCGCTAATGCTGCAACAACACCGTCTATACCAACAGCATCATCATTACTGCTACCGAAATCCGATGGTGGTTTGTTGAGTAAATTAACAGGTTCAAAGACTGCCGATGTGTTGCCAAAGGCTTCAGAGAGTGTGATCAAGCCTGAACCTGACAATAGATTATTGACAACGCCGTCTAGTAGTAGTATACCGCCGAACTCTGATACCAATCGTGATGGTTTACTAGCCTTGTTGACTGGTAAATCAGATACTCCTCCCACAATAACACCAGCATCATCAACTCTACTACCGTCAAAGCCTGGGTTATTGCCAGTCAAACGAGACTCGACCAAGGACTTGTTGTCTTCCACCCCAGCTTCTGAGGATGCTAAGCGACCTGATCTATTGGCTCTGTTTACTAAATCGTCGTCGACGTTGCCGTCTGTAAGTAATAATACATTACAGAAACCGCCTCCATTATTGCCTCCATCTACACAGCCAAGTCCTTTGGCTGCCTTGCTTGGCAAGAAGGAGGACGAGGTTGTTGTTGAGGCTGATGAAATAGAACCAACGGCTTCCTTGGTGGAAGAACGCTTGACTGATGAACCAGGTGCAATACTCAGTGATTCGCCGACGTCAAACAGCATTAATTTAGTAGAGGAAGACGACGTGAATGCAGACAATGGCGATAATAGTGATATAGATTTGGACTCAGCACATGAACAAGACGATACACTTCCATATGGCTCCTCTACTCCACATCCACCAGCATTCATACCTTTATTCAGCAGACACGTTCCCATCACATCTTTATCTAAACAGGCATCGTTTAGTGGCTCATCGTCTACATCATCGAACGCACCAGTGGCTGGTAGTGTCAACATTAATAGTAGCAATAAATCAAAATCCAAAGGAACAGCGCCCGACACTATAAATAATGCCATGCCAGTCATGACACGATTCGGAAGCGCATCTTCAGATCGGACAAACAACTCTAACACAACCACAGATCGTTTCCAAGTTGAGTTGACGTCACCAAACGGTGTCTTTATGGGTACTGTGGGTGAGATGCAAGTTGAGCATCATGGAGATGATAGTCATCCACAATTCGTGTTTAAATTGGATGCGAACAAAATTATGGGGTTGCCTGCTAATAGTAGTAACAGTGTGGGTACTTCGACTACTGATGCTGATGACGATGGATTTAATCGTGGTGGAAATAATGGAGGGTTTGAAGATGAGATATCGCTTGATGGTGTGAGTGATGATGATGAGCAAGCTATTGGTGAGGCTTTAGGCACAGAAGACGAAGACCAGGAGGTGGTAGATTTTAACGATTTTGAAGAACACAAGGGTACTGATGACTCTCCTGTGGAGAACGAGAAATAGCTCGAGGATGGCGAGATACTCGAGTAAAAATTGTATAACGAATGTAAAAACGCATGTTACTTTGCATGATGAATTGTATTTTCTTGTGCACGATGCCATATAATTTAGATTCTTAAAATTTAGAATGAGAGAGGTTCTTTGTAGGCACCAGCTTCACATTTCTACTTAAACATTAAATTAAACTCCCTAAATACAGCAAAGCCCGTCCTCAAAGCGAATCTTCAATCACACGTCCGATTCTCTCCCAGACCCATAAATCCCTCACATACTCAAGCGTCACAGCAGCAAAAGAAGCCGATACAGCCCTCATCGTCTCGCTATAAGCTTTACGTGGTCCCATTCTAAGCATGTCGAATATAGATGGGATTTTAGGTGATGGGATGGCTTCTTCAATCAGCCTCTCGTTGTGTAGATGAGGCATGGTTGCTTCCATGGGTACCGAGAATACATCACGAGTATAGTATAGATTCAACCACCTTATCTTGTTATCGTTCCGCTGTTGTGGTTGTGGTTTTATTACCGCTATGGTCGTCGATGATGATGATGACCCTATTGGTGAATAGCTATTATTAAACTGATGGTTTCCAAGCGTTACAGCCCATGCTTCAGGTTGTGCATATGGTGATGGTGGTGGTGTCGGGCTACAGTTGCGATTAGCTATTGTCGTTGGTGCAGGCGAATACAGACTACGACGTATCGGTGATGGATATGATTGCAGCGGTGGCGATAACGATCGTGCACTACCACCATCCAAACTAGCATTACAATTCATACACGACTCTGAAGACTCTGAATCACATTCAAAATCATCTCGTGATGATGACCGTGATGCCGTCCTACTACGTCCAGATTCACTACATCGGGAAGATGATGGGCCTGCAGACTCGAATCCGGAATCTGCTATCGATGGTGAGGATGACAGGGTCGGTGATGTGCTTCGTTGGGTTAGCACTAGACGGGTCAGGACGTTTGCGGCCGAGTTTACGAGTCCTGATGCTAGTGATGTTGATTGGTTTACCATGCTCATTGCTGATGTGCCAATGAATTTGGGCATGGGCATTAGGCGGGCGTGTGAGGCCCATTGCAGATGCGATCCTAGTGTTATGAAGGATGAGAGTTTCATGGCACCGTCTGCTTCAATGTCGTATGGGAGATGTGCGTGGTTTACGAATTCCTGTTGCTGTTGGGACTGCGGGTTTGAGTCTTGGAAGAGTGATGCGATGGTTTCGTTGGTATGATGCAAGTCACCAAAGTACTAAGCAACCAACACAGAGAGTGTTGTTAGAAGGCAAAAAAACCACTTATGAAAGCACTCGAATACTCACCAATGTCAAAACAGCACCGCCAAGTGATGAAGCAATAACATTCAAATTAGCAGTCTTGGTAACACCTCCCAGCGATGGTTTACTAGATGGACTGTTGACATGTCCAAAGCCCATTCCGAGCAATGTGTTGTTCAAGTCCAATAAAGCCGATTCAACACCTTGCAAGAGATAGTGTCTCGCTACGTCTTCAGCGACACAAGCCATGCTGAATGATGCTACTGTCATTATGTGCCTTCGGCAGAAGTTCCAAGCTGAAGATGTACAATGACGTTAGCTTTAAGCAACGAAAAAAAGTGTATGCAGAAGAAATCACAAACTCAAACTTTTGACATACCGAGGAAATCAGAGTCATCGTAGTCGGGTACTGGAGCAGCAACAGATGTAAAGTCGAAACAAGCAATCAGAGGATTGAGTTGTTTCTCGTTTGGTCCACGCATCGAGTTGAGATGGTTTATCGTATGCATTCCGTTTTTCCTTACTAGCTCCATCTCGCGATCGTTTAGGCTGTTGAGACTTGGGCCGTGTACGTAACTATTGAGAAGAACAATCAGCACTTCAGTCTGTAAAACAATTTCATACCAGAGCAGGTGCATTCTTCACAACAAAAAAACACTCACAATAAGACGACATGCTCAAAGTTGGGATTATTCGAATTAACCCTGAAATTATCCAAGTTCTCGTATGTAGTCTTGGTATTGTACCGGTTTGCATTAGACTCTTCCAATATCTCGTGTCGATATATAGGATTTGTCAAATATCCAAACGGATTACGAACCGGTGGACTAGCACTCATCCTGTCAAAGATCTTTTGAGCACGGTCCTTGAATGCTATTGGCATATCAGGTGCACGTGTCCCCACTTGTCGGTATTCAGTTACGAGATCCTTGATACGGAGAGCTACGCGACGATATATAGCAGGGTCTACTGCGTATAGGAGATGAGATAGTGGTGTGAGTCTGGCGGGAGCAGACCATAGATCGGCCCACAGAGAAGCTAAATCCCATCCGGATATGTTTGATTGGATGTCTTCGGGTGAGGCATCCCATAGTGGTAGTTCAATGTCTTGGATGAAGTTGTAGTATTCGTGTTCTTGGCTGAGTGGAGCTGCGACAACGTCTGATTTGTAGTAGCAGTTAAACCATTTGATTGTGTCTGGGATTCTGTAGATTGAATTGTCATTAGGAAATGGTTGGAACAATGGCGTAAAAAAGTAGATAATCACGTGAAATTGCTTACAATCTAACAGGTGGTCGGTGGGGGAACTGCCACGCAATAGGAGATCCCAGTGTATAATGACTTCTCAATCCATGCAGTATAATACGACAACCAGCAAATCCTAGACGTACTTCATACACCCTAAAATAGCTCTTCTCTCGTAGCTCTTCATCCAAAGCAAAGTGATGGAAGAATTCAGACAAGAATTCTGTTGCTATAGATGATCCCATAGAGTAAGCCATCACAGTCAATGTTGGGCATGGAAGATGAGGAGCTAGACCATCGATATCCGTTAATCCAACATCGTGTGCGAGTTCACGAATGGTATCACATAATGTTAGGAAGATTTCGTGTCTATAGGGGGCACTGGTATGAAATGACATGCACTATAAGGTTTAATAAGGTGAGTCAATTGCGTCAAATCGACTGTCGGTAAGCCAATTGTGAAAACATCAGTCAAAACTTGGGGTGCTCAAGATTTCGACCAAACTCCAAGATTTAGCCAACCACAAACATACTGACGGCCATGCACCACTGAAATTACATTGTAAACTTACTTGGTTGAGTAATGTCTCAATCACATGCCTTCGGAATTCTTCGAAAAACATGTTTCCAACACCTTCATTTCCATGCACTGCAACTGCATTACGACGAATTTCTTCTTGTTTCTCCAATAACGGCTGAGCAAAATCTATGCCACGGACTGAGCAAGATATGTCCTTTGCGTAAACCTCCATAGCACGTTTCATTCCCGTCGTTGCACATTGATTAAGCGCATCGGGTCCACTGCGAATAGAATACATTTAATACGAGCATCGTAATTACAAGTGCAAGAGATCAAAGATAATCCACTTACCCAGGTGGGCACAGACCGTGGATGTACAAAAGCGCACTGTCATGAAGCTGAGTTTGTGGCATTGGTTGGTCAGACATGATCTGAGTAGTTCGGTGATCGGTATTGATTTTCAACTGTGGTTGAGATCCAAACAGAGTCTCTTTTGTGCTGTCTAATATAGAAGCTAACCAGCTAGGCGTTGGTGGTATTGTCGAGGGTTGTGATGAGGTGTGATCAGATGAGCTATGACCGTGGTGTGGGTTTAAGAGAGGCAGTTTACTAGACTTGTAAGGTCGTACACTGGTGCCTCGACGTTTCGTTGGGCGTAGTCGTGATGGCTTTATATTGGTCAAATACGAGTCATCTTCGACAAAAGTAGGATCCGAGTACGAGACTTGGTGGTTGCTGTTACTGATGCGGTTGACATGGTTCGATGACATCTCCTGTTTACCGCTATGCTTCTTTTTTCCCCCCTTGACTTGCTTTCGACTAGCTTTTGTTTGTTTTTTTGGTCGACTTTCGTTCTTCAGTTGCTTGAGAAAGATCTTTTTTTGAGCTCACCAAGCTAGCAAAGGCTCCTATGCCAGTTATTAGACTTGTGCCGTGTTAAATGTAGATGGAGCTTGCTATCTTCTAAGCTGCTTGGGTGATTTTGCAACGAGTGATTCCGCTTCGCGTCTGTGGTGGCTAAAACGGCAGTGATAGGCACAGGGTTGGATCAAAACACACCTATTTCAAGAGAACCGGTATCCAAGATTTAACGTGCTACTACCCTCGAACAGCCACAACCTCGAAGCTTAAAAATTCTGAAAAACCGCCCCAAGTCGCTGACCCTTTTCGATACCACCTCGATCTTTCACCGAACGAAGATTGCGCATCAAGTTCGACAATCAGATATACTTGTCATTAAAATATATATATTATTCTACATTCGAGTAAATAGAGATCTGTGAATGTACACGTTCAGACTCATTTCCAAACCCAATTGCATTCTCCGTGCGAATGGCAAATGCTTCAGGAATATGTTCTTCCAAGAGTTTATCCACACCTGCAGCGGTAACTGGATCAGCACGGAAATACCTAGCAAAAGTACCTAACGGGTGAACATAAGGTTAGTAGTGATTAATGAAGATATGCAAATAAATGCTCGTGTTACGGTCGTTGTGCCATGCCAACAAGTAATAAGTTGTCTCGTTACGACTTGCAGATCGATACGTCGTGGCTTCAGGAGGTGGTGAAGACCACGTTGTCTCAATAAACATTTTGGTGAAATCCAATCCAAAGTCGAGACATCCGTTTATAATCACGTCGATATATGTTTGAGCTAGAGGGTGCTCATCGTTGGGGAAGAGTTCAATGTCTATAATGTAAATCCATATATTGCAATCTGACGGTATGGGTGAGTTCGTGTCCCAAGCTACAGAAGAGATAGGTTTGAGATGCCAACTTGACAAGTGCCAGAGATTGAAGAATACAATACCTCGAACTGCCGTGTTCGGAATCAGTTCCCTTCGATACCCTTTCTCTCTTATGTCAAAGCTAGCCAACTCCTCGTCGGTAACGCGATATATGATACCGTTGATGAGCGAATTGTTGGTATCATCACGAACAACTCCGAGAGCAGTATATTTCCTTACAAAGCTTCGAACACTCCAAGATCGTTTGAAACCAGATACTATCGTCAAAGTGGTGTCAGAGTCATTGATCCCAAAATAACTGACGTACGTATGATACCAAGAACAGGACAAGAGTCATCAGAATGAGCAAGTTCTGTTGTCTTTAGCCTTGAGCGAGCGTTGATCAGCGATCCATATCCAAAGATATACTGTTTGACGTTTTGCTGATTCTATTGAAGTGACGAATCAGAAATGTTGGTTGTCATGACTTCCTGGCCAATTACCAAGACAAATAGATACAGGTAAACTACCTTGCATATGTTTTCTGATATCCTGGGGTCTTCTTCCTACAAGACAAGGGATAAAATCAGAAGATTTTCGTCGTCAAATTGTTCGAAGAGCTCAAACATTGCCACTACCACACAAAGCATATTTGGAGTATAGAGGCCCAATATGAAAACGAAGGAAGACCAGGTAGACGCTCAGTCTGAACGCAACCTTCTCAAGGTCAAGGCTTATTGTCTTCGTTGGCAAAAGCTCTCACGAAAACTGAATCAATCAGACGGCCAACCGGCCGATATACGGTTGTGTAGTCTCTGTCTTATAAATGCTCTAATTAGCGAACCAACGACATCCGATACTCCTTCAAGTACATCCCCGGGCAAAGGTGCTGTCAACAACAACCAACATCAACGTCACATTTTAATTCAATATCACGAATCAAAGGACAACTCGACCAAGGATCCATTACGGACGACATCCATAGATCTGAGCCATGCCATGTCAAATACTCTAGATAGGGGTGGTAGTTTGTTAGTCTCAGGCATAGTCCCCTTCGTCACCTTCTTCAACAAATACTACGAGGCCTGGAAGACAGGTGCCAATACGGCTGTATTAGGGAAGTTTGCTACCAAATTGACGGACGGTACACCAATAGTTATGATGCAGAATGGTGTCAAAAAATGGCAGACGTGGTATCATAACTATTACCACAAAAAGCCAGAATGAAGGTGTCGGACTCAGAAAGCTAATCTGTATATATTGACACATTTTTATAGTTTTTTACTTGCTTTTATATAGATATTTGAATTGTGCCTCATCATGATGCAGAAGAAGGAGAAGACTTATTTAGGTTTACCCTTGTCTGAGGCCTCAGTCTCTTTGACATCAATACGTTGAATGATCTCGATAGTTTCCTTTTGCATGACTTTAAAGTCTTTGGCATCATCTCGATCAGCTTTGACCTAATGGAGGAGAGACTTGAATGTGAGAAACGACCACGAGATAACAAATGTTTGTTTGACATACATTTGCTTCGGACTCTGAAGCAAGATGATGGTTCCATAATGGGGCATGCTTGATGGTGGAAATGGTCTCTAGAAAATAGGAAAGTAAGGTTTGAGACAAGGTTTATACATGACGGCGAAATGTCATTGATCAACATGTTGATACCTTTCTTGAGAGAGCGTTCCTTCTCGCGTTCCTATTCAAATAGGACAGTAAATATGGCTAGTAAGGATACAGATCATATAACTTAGGAGCGATCGGTGAAAACAAAGGCGGCAAACGTACCAAGACTTCAGGATTGTTGCCATGGACTGAAGAGTGCAGTGCGCGAATTGGACTGGTGAGCATTGTCATGGTCTTTGATCGTAGGGCTCGTGCTGGAATCATATTGTTGCTTGTTTGAATTGTGGGTTGTATTTAAAGCTTTGTTTGAGTGCAGTGTTTAAGGTTGCGAGAAGTTGATGTGTCCCAGCACCGCGTCTAACGCGAGCCGTTTCGCGTAAATCACGTAGTTCTCAGAGCAATCTTGTTGCATCTTGAAGCTCTCTAGGTTAGCCAAGGCTGCCAGCCTCCTCGTGATTATTGGCACACTTGGCACAAGACACCCTGGTTTCGAGGCTGGTCCACTGAATTCACCTCGTCAATCGCGATAAAAGTCTTGGCCAACCAACAATTTCTGAGACAGTATGCAGATGTGCAGCTTCATTCGAAGTTGATCTTCCTCGCACAGACTCGTTTCATCGTTTTTAAACAGCTTACAACAGCCAGTGAACGGCCAGGATGAACGTAGATGAGGGCATACCTGCTCCGAAACAGGATGTGCTGCCATATGATCCAGTCGGCCCTGTAGTCGTCGGCTCGAACAAGAATGGCGTTACCAACGACGACAGATATCTCGACCAAGAACTCGCTTATGGAAATACAATATTTACCTTCGCCCGTCAAGCTCTAGTGAGTAATATGCTCCCACAAATAGTTATTATTACTTCAAGCAAGAACAGCTCAAAAGATTGTATGTATCTGACACATCTCTCCCTTTTCTCCATTATAACAGCGACTCGCGGAACTAGAAGAAGATGAGGAAGGCAGGAGGCAGGAATCAGAAAGTGAAAAGACTGGCTCCCTGGACTCAAACTCCACTGGTATTTACCTTCTTACAAAGCTGTTGTGTGCCATGTTTCAGATTTGATCCCAACCTTAAACGAACTTCGTTAGGCCGAAGGCATCCCACACTCAACTCGCTCAAGGACAAGATCCCAGATGACTTCGAAGCTCGACGAAAGGCTAGTTTCGTATCTACAAAGTCTGCACTTGGACGTAGAGCACTTGACTCTCTGGCTCGTGGCTCAACTACGTTAAGCTTGATGCCGGTTCGTCGCAACACGATCCTGGATAAGCCTACAACAGAAGCTCCTCTGAGTGATGATGAAGGAGAGGGAGATGATAGTAGTGTTGAAGACTTGGAAGCCGATAATAATGTCGTGTCTGAGCGAATCAAGGTGGCTTTTGATCTGCCTGTACTTGAGGCATTCAAAGGAGGTAATATTGGGAAATAATTGTGTTTTGTAGAGTATATTTTAACCGTCTACGAACTTTTCTAGAATTCGCTTGTTGGTTGAGCAGATCGTGAGTCAGTTTACAGAATATGTTTCAGTAAACAGTCTTTTGACAAGTTATTGTCGTTTTTAGCGTATTATTGAAAGGCTATATGTTCATCACAACGGGCCATATGTGCTTTTACACGAGTCTACCCAGAGATCAAGTAGGTGCAAGTTTGAAACGTCTCAAGAATTACTAATGGCTAACCTGTTTACAACCTATAGTCGGTGGTCAGAAAGAGCGGATACTTGTCAAAGCGTTCTCTATCTGCTCCAACATACTACACTTACTGGTTTGTGCTCAAGGAAGATGTTCTGACATTCTATGCTAACTCGACAGTAAGCACAAAATCATAGGACTTTAGTACTGTCGCAATCGGCTCACCATCACTTTGCTTAGGATATATATTTCCCATTCGGCTCCATTGACATGAAAAAAGTCATTGATATCACTACATCAGCGTCCAGGAAGAATGGTTTCAAAATTGAAACACCGGCTCGTAAATACCATCTTACCGCTGATACGGACATTGCTGTGCAGGAATGGATTCATGCTCTTCAAGCCAGCATGTTTAGAGCGAAAAATGAAGCCGATGATGTCCGAGTGAGTCAAAACTGTTGGTTAAATCCACCAAAGTCGCAGTCTAGGTTTTTTGTGTTTTAACCCCAAATAACCTCAACCTGGTTTTAGATTGTCTTGCCATTTGCCAATATTACTGATATGCAATTGAACACTACTTCCGCTGGAGTGGATTCTATTCGAATTCGAGTCTCCGATGACGATGTCGCTGAAGAGGCGTATTACTTTACCTTCTTCAACGACATCCGATTCGCCTATGATACATTGCACACAATATGGCAAGAAGTACATAGGGAGATCAAAACAATACGTGGTAAAGCAAAACCTGTCTCTACTATGTATGACTCGACTGCATCATCATCGCTACCACCGAAACCAGAATCGCCCACACGAGACTTGAGGCCTCCCACTCCATCATCCGCATTATCCCAATCATCACCACGTCCTAAATCTTCCAATCCATTCGTCGCTTTGTCGGCTGCATTACCACCATCAGCAATAACCAATGGTAGTTTGTCCCCATCTAATGTATTAGGAAAAATTCCACGAGTCTTCCATCGTCGCTCTCAAAGTGATATGCATGCCAGCAAAACTAACAGTGAGGCCTCGGCCGCAGCAGATCTCTTCAATAATGTTCAATCAGTCACATCGCCCTCAGCAGACTCTGTAATGTCTTCATCCACATCACCTTCTCTATCTTCGTCGCCTGACCGTGAACGCCCAAACCCTCTAGGATCGCAAACGTCATTACCTCTAGTATCTGTAGATTCACCTCCTCCCGGCACTGAACGTCCACCCAGTCCACAGAAACATGGAAGTTCAAGCTCTTGGGGTTCTTGGGCAACGCCATTTAGTGCAGGTCATAGAAAAACACCGTCTGATGTGGGTCTTCAATATTTATCAGACTATTCTCGTGATTTTGGATTGACTGATAAGCGACGAGAAGAGTTTGTGAGGACTTTTGGATTACCAGAGTCTGAGGAGCTACATGGAAGTGAGTGTTGGTGTCTCGCATCACCAATTTGTTGAGAAATGCTGAATTTTACTCCTCCGTTAGCCGCTCTTTGCTATTTTGAACGTATCATACCTCGCCTTGGACGAATGTTTATCTCCGAACTGCATTTATGCTTCAACTCGAATATTATTGGACCCAAGATGATGATTCCGCTCTCTGATGTTGTAACTGTCAAGAAGGAGAAGGCACGAATGAGTGGTCTTTTATATCACTCTATTCTCGTCAAGACGAAAGATCAGCAAGAGGTAGCACATATGTGAAAGAAAATCAAAAAGAATTGAGCAATTCTTTTGCTCAATGTTCCTCGCTAAATTTCTCAATCGTTCAATAGTTTATATTCGCCTTCCATTCCTCGGAATCTTGTGACCTCATCTGTCAAGTACTCAATCCTAAAATAGTTGGTCATGTCGCCGCCATTGAACCTGAGATGCGTACCGCAGAGAGGAGGAAGAGTGTTGAGCTTATACGTAAACAAGTCTCGGTACTCAAGGATTTACAGCATGATGAACATTCAAAATCAAGTCTCACTGATGGTCAGTAATTCACCTCCGTACACTCACTCTTCTTCTGCTTCTTTTGACCTTAACGCTGACGACTTTGTGTCTTCATGTTTGCAGAGGAGCTGAATGCTCTTCCACCAGTAATTACCGAAGTTGCCAGGGAAAGTCCCAAACCAATGCATATCACATGTCTCACCATTGGTACTCGAGGGGATGTGCAGCCTTACATTGCTCTTGCTAAAAGGTTGAAGGGGGATGGTCATACCGTTAGGATTGCTACACATCTCGAATACAAGGGATGGATTGAAGATCACGGTTTAGAGTTTGGAGAAGTCAAAGGAGATCCAGCTGCTCTCATTGTGAGTATCCCTCGTCGATGCCTTTGGTACCCATTTTTTGCTCTGCTGACTATTGTCGTCGCCCTTGTCTGGTATAGGCCTTGTGTGTGGACAACGGAATGTTTTCTGTTTCTTTCATGCGAGAAGGCTTGTCGCATGTATGTATAAGTCAGACTCAAAGGTTCAGGTCGCTTTTATCTCATTTTTTTCTCAAACAGTTTAGAGGCTGGTTTGACGAGTTATTGATATCAGGCTATGAAGCATGTGCTGGTACAGAGCTCATTATACAGTCACCAACTGCATTCTCTGGATTACATATCGCCGAAGCTATGCAAATCCCATACTTTTCTGCCTTCCCAATGGTAATACAGCGTGCACAGAAACAACTGATAAGGAAGAGAAACGATGTTGACCTTTTTTTACCTCTAGCCTTGGACCAAGACTCGTGCCTACCCACATCCATTCTCTGTACCCGAAATACATATGGGAGGTTCATACAACTATATGACGTATTCTGCAATTGATACTGTCATGTGGATGTTTATGCAGTATCAAGTCAATGCTTGGGTACGTGCCTCGTCAGTTTGTCACTCTTTATCTACGTCTGATTCGACTTTTTACCACATTTTAGAGGAAGAAGACTTTAGATAGGGTGCGCATGAATTTGCTAAAACGATCTTGGTGCGAACGCACAGGCTCATCAAAATTCAATATTTTTAGCCACCTGTGGGCTCCTTGGACTTGAGTGAATTTCCCTTCTTGTACAGCTTCAGTCCATCGGTAGTGCCTCATCCTCCAGATTGGCCCGACACAACTCACATTTGGTAGGATCAGAACCAAAAAACCATTGATACGCAAGGTAAAACGATCAAACTAATGTTCTCTGTATCTCCATAGTGGTTATTGGTTCTTGGACAATCCCGACTTGACTTGGAAAGCACCCCAAGATTTACTAGACTTTTTGCAAGGCGACACTAAGCCTGTGTACATTGGATTTGGGTCTATTGTTGTTCCTGATCCAGGTATGATTTCTGCCGACGTCAATCGTTTGCCTGCTCAAGATCTCTCTTTTTGGCATCATGTAGCCTTGCTTTCATTTAGCTACCGTCCCTCATTTTCTAACTATTCTCTTTTCAAACACTCATTAGATGAGATGACCACTATAATCATTGAAGCAGTCAAGAAGAGTGGTGTCAAAGCGATATTATCAAAAGGATGGTCGGCACGACCTGTTGAAGGCAAAGTAGGATCACCAACCAAAGGTGGAGAAGAAGTGTATCCCGATTGTATCTATCCCGTGTCATCTGTACCTCATGACTGGTTGTTTCCTCAGTTGGCTGGAGTTGTGCATCATGGTGGTGCAGGTAATCATCATTTGACATCTTGTTTTGTTTGTGTTTGGACATCGCTTATGCTGCTATGATGCTCATAATTCTTATTCAAATAGGCACCGCAGCTGCTGGCCTGAGAGCAGGAGTACCTACCCTTATTAAGCCATTCTTCGGAGACCAGGTGTGTAATCAGACTGTTTTTAGTTGAGTTTGGAAATGGACTGCCATCATCGAGGACCTTACCTTCGTATATGAGCGTTTGTTTTTTCGACAGCCTGCAAGCTCTCAATTCACGCTTTTTCTCAAATAGTTCTTCTGGGCTGACCGTCTCACAGAGCTTGGTGTCGGAGTTTCGATTCGCAAACTCACAGTCGACAAGTTGGCCGAAGCTCTCATCACCATTACTACGGATACCAAGATGGCTGAAAAGGCCAAAGTGCTTGGTGCCAAAATCCGACGGGAAGATGGTGTTGGACGAGCAGTAGAATACATATATCGAGATCTAGAATTGTCACGACGAAGAATCATAAAGTTGCATGCTGATGTTGGTCATCCATCCGTATCCAACAATACGACACGACCATCAACTCCCATAGAAGGCAGGCCATTATCTCCAGCAAATGGATCTAGTGAAGCTCTCCCGTATGTTGCTTCGCCACCATCCAAACGACGTAGTGAAGATGGTAGTATGCCGTATAGTAATGGACGAGGTGCTACCGTGCTCCCACGCAACATGGACCGATCCACCAAGAGTCGACCCAGCTCGTGGCATACACTACCATTACCGCCAGCTTAGAGAAAGATAAGAATGTCTGTTACTCGTTTATCATGAACAAAATAACGCCTCTTATAATGTTTGATTTTTTTTGCAAAACCCGTAAAGCTGATTTTTCAAATAATGTACTCTTTTGTGTTTGTGTTTGTATCAACTACTATACTTTAATGTATATACATTACAAGAAGAAATTTCATTTGAAACAAAGGTATTGTAGTGTTGTCTCAAATGTGCCTTTACAGGATGTTGAGCGAGTGAGTATATGTGCGAGCAGTTCATATTCTGCAATCAGTCTTCGCCAGCTGGAACTTCTTCTTCCAGCACTTTGATGAGCTTGACTCTGATCTCTGTTGTTTCATCACCTCGGAGAGCGTCCTGTACGAAATGGCAGTCTACTTGTAGTTGTACCTGCGGGAAAGAGAGGGTGTGAATACACTTTTGCTGGTTGTTACGACGACTACTGAGCATCCATTGTTGGTAGTCGTACAGAGTACTGGCGACTGCTTGAGCTGAAAGTTGGCCAACGAAACTAAAAAAAAGCAACACTCCCAGTAATCAAGGTACGTACCATTTCAAGAGCACCCCTCAACACACCACACAATACATTCGAATAATACAAGTCCCCAGCATCATCAGGCAATTCCACAAAATCCGCCAACGGATTATCATCCAACAATAACGAGAATTCCTTGCCATTAGCGGCCCAATGCGTAACCTGAGGCGTGATTCCCAGAAAGATTTTGAATCCGACCTTGGCAATCATGTCTGCGGTGTCTTTGAAATCCGAGCATTTAGATATGTTTGCTTTGGCGAGAAAGTCTTCGATTAGACGGACGCCAATGTTGTATCCCCTGATAGGTTTCAAGAGAAGTGAGAGGATATGAGTATATGGCAGTTCCATATTTCGAATACAATATGAGAATCGGTATCTCTTGTATCGTTTCAAGCAGCAGCCAAACCCTGAAAATGACATACATCTTCTCTAATTGCTTGTTGACTTCAGCGTAATCTTCATAGTCCTTGATGAGTTGGGCGACTACTGAGCCATATGTAAGTGTAAATAGCTCGCCATTCTATAAAATCAAATGGTGTTGAGTCAGTCCGACTTGTCAAATGCTGAAATGTTTGGATTTTGATGTGAAAGCTTTGCGATGCCGACACAGGAAGATAACACGGAATAAGGCTTACAATCTTTTCGATTCTTGACTTCCATATTTCATCGGCTGTTGCCTTGGATTGTTTGCCTACACTCATAATTTCTTTTGAGAGCTCTCTGAGACTCGGAGAGGAAGTTGGGAGTTGGCATTGGGGTTTTCAGGTTCGAATAAATTGTCTTTCATGGAATTGACGCGTAAAAAAATAATAACAATCATATCAATACTCATCAATCCTATCGCCTCTTATATCAAGTCACAGTACTTTGGACATTCAGCAGAATTTCGAATTTCGACATGGGTTACGGGAATTGCTGGTACATCTATCGATCTAGAGCATTCTGCATGGAATCATGGAATCTACATACATTTCTCTGCTTCTACCATCATCTGCACAGTAAGTGTTCGGCAGAACGTAGATGTGGCAGATACAAAGCTATTGGCCCGAATACCGTGCCGGTGCCCATGATTCATGTAATCAAGGATCCTTCGATTCTATGAATGGTTTTTCTATTCATGGAATTGGACGCTAGCTTCGAGGCATAAATCGGCGCTCGCCATGGTCCAGCAGCAGTAGTCTCTTGGATCACAGCCTACTCGGCCTAGTAACAAACAGGACAAGTAGTAATAACAGTAGTATTGGCTTGGGGTAGCATCACGAGGTACAAAGTTTCTGTGTTGGATACTCGTCTTTCAATGGAGAAATTAAGCACTTTGAAGGTGTACTTGGTCACGTAAACCCTCTGTATTGTTGAGTACTCGAGTGCCTAATCAACCGACATCTGCTTGACTTGTAACAGTTGACACAATACAACGTGGTGAGGATTGAGAGGAAATCGCTCATCCAGGCCATTTCCAGTCTGCTGCTACATCTTCAAAGTCACTGGCGCTAGGACTTGGTCTACATCCACTTTGTACGAGGAATATACGGGCGGTCTGTCTGAAATGCTGCTGACATCTCCCATGTTGACCCTCATAGATGGACACTTGTTTAGATCTATATGTAGCAAGTTGTATGATTCCGAACTATTTGTTGGTGCAACGTGTTTCTTTTAGAAGCTTTGAGTCTTTTGATTCCACGCGCTTCGTTTGTAAGTTGCTATTGCCTCAAAACGAAGCATTATTAAAATGTCTTTAAAGCTGCCTGTTGACGATTCGATACGCTTTTCCGTTGACTTAACGATGCGACTAAAAGCTTATATGCCTAGACATATAACTCGTTACTGCTTGTTAAGTGTTAAGTCAAAACCCGGCACATTTGTCCATTTGCCATTTGCCAGCTTTTTTGTTTCCATTTTGACTCGATTCGTCTAATGCAAAACCTGGGAACAATAAGAAACATTGAAATACCTTCAAAATTACGCGAGATCCGTCTCTTCATTCTGCTTTCATCTCGTTGAGCACGGAGAGCGACCGGGTGGTGGAGCTCAAACAATACGTGGAGTGACTTTCGTTTCTTCAATAGTTTGGACAGAGAAGCATTTAATTTTATAGTATCGACAGAAAGCTATGCATAGGCGTCTCAGAGCTCTCTTCAGAAGGACGTCTCTCCGATCTCTCCGAGTGACCTTCTCCGCCAACAAGGTGGAAACTCTTGAGAGAAAGCCCTTGAAATCCGATTCCTCAAGCTCGAAACCTGACTGATCTATAATCAAAAGCCAAATTGGGACTCCCCATGATGTGGAAACTGTGTCTGACCATGTTGATGACATTGAAGTGTTTTTGAATGGAGGAGGTAAAAGATTCCCCTCTTGTTGGGATTGCAACTTTGAAAAGTAGTTGAAATGGCTTGAGATTATAATAATCTGGGGATGCGAGCGTTGGAGGATCAGACAAACTGATACCAATTATGCTTTGCGTCCATTCGGAAGTTGACCACACAATTTTACCTTAGACACACCTTTCTGGGCCCCTTGGAGGAAGAATCACGCTAACAAGGACTATATAATAGAAGAGACTACTAATACGGTCGAATCTGAAAAGGTCAAGTTTGCATTTGATCTCACTCAAGTTGAGGATTACGAAGGAGGTAACAGCCTAAACTACATGAATACTCGACCGTCGCTGATTTCATTATTTTCGTTGGCAGATTTCGCCTGTTGGTTGTCCAAATCGTAAGAGACGTTCTTTGTTTAGTATCAGTCTCTAGTATCTCATATTTGTACTAGTGTATTGACGAGGGGTCACATGTTCGTTACTACAGAGCATATTTGCTTCTACACGAGTCTTCCCCAAGATCAAGTAATGTGCCATTAATCTTTTGTACAGATTTGCTAGTTTGCTCATCATCAACTCGTTCGCTTAGCCTGTAACAAAGAGTGGCTATTTATCAATACGCTGTCAACCAACTGCAACATACTCGATTCGCAAACTCACAGTCGACAAGTGGGCTGAGGCTCTAGTTACTCTCACTACCGACACCAAGATAGCCGACAAGATCAAGGTTCTTGGTGCCAAGATCCGTAGTGAACATGGCGTTGGTCAACCAGTCAAGTTTATATATCGAGAGTTGGAATACTAACGACGCCAAATTCTGAAATTGAATGCTGACATCACTCAGTCTGTCGTATCTTCCAGCAGAAGTGTATAGAATCACGACTGTGTTGGGAGTAACTGTGTGGGTTCTTTTCAGAGACTTTATGTGAACGTGTGTTATTTATTTGTGCTTTAGCCTAGTATACTTTTATTTTTTATATTGCCACGAGAAGTGTTTTTATGTACGTTTTGCGTTTTATACGACTATGGTTTTTTGCTTTATACGTCCCTCCTCATGATGCTACACTCCTCGTCACCCATGATGAACAAATAGTGAATATTACCGTTTTGAAACTACCACTAGTGCTCCAACCAGAAGGAAGTAAACGAATTCTGCTGGATTCTTACGGGGCTGGTCATCACGCCTTTCAGCAAGCAGCCGAATTTTAGTAGTCCTAACGGATGAACTGACGGAAACGGTACCGTACTCTGATCACATTGTATCAAGGCTCGGTGCGGTAACGTCGCCAGCAGCAAACATAGTAGCCAAAGCAGCAGGACTCTTGTAATCGTCTTTTGAGTGTCTGTAGCAGATTACCAAATGTGTTGATGTCGCACAGCGAGACAAGATCCAACCTTGAAGATAAAGCAATGCCAGAGATCCAGTCGCTATCAAATCATTGCGCTGTTGGGTCTATTCAGTTTGTTATTGAAACGATGTCAGTTGCGATGGTGGTTTTACTGCAAGGAAAACAGAGAGCATTTTGGCAATGCTAATCACGACAAGTGTGAATGGACAAGCACATACCTGTAATACACTCCAAATTACTTCTTCGGACTCCTAGAAGCGGTTTCATGTCGCACCTTGTGAGTGGTGTTGTAGTGCGGCAACTGAAAGTTCAAGCAGAAGGAATCAAGGATTACAGGTTGGACGACGTAATTTGATAGTAGTCAAGGACATCAAATCACGTGATAACGTACATTTTGGATCGAATTGACAGATCTCTCCTCTCGAAACGCGTTCCTCATAGAGTAATCCTGAAAAAATAACCATACTTACTAACACTGTTAAAAGAAAACCACTTCTACTGATTTGGACAGTATTGAAGGCGGATGATAGTCGCATTGACATAAATGGACGCAAACCTCACGCAAAGTAGCAGTTGCATTGCTGCTTCGTAGATCAACAGAAACAAACAATAATTTCAACAGTGTTGGACTGTTTACAATAGTGCTTTATATTTTAGAAAACATTCACACACAAACCATCCTCAAGATGCCAAATGACTACTGCGATAGCTTCACAGACCCGTACGTGTGATCACTTCACAACTATAACAACCACTGGCTTCTTCTGCAAAAGATGAATGTAAGACCAAATAATGGCAATGCAGGTTAAAAGATTTCTTACCTGCTCAAACCGCAACGTTTCCTTCCTCAGCCTCACATCTTAACATTCGAGCAGCATTGTGGCAGCATGAAGTTTCGTACTTGGAGACGAACAGCGTTGTCTCCGACAACCTGTAAATATTTACAGCAATTCGACCATCTTGGTGCTTAAAATCTAAGCCGAACAAGTTCAAGCAGCTCTTCTGACCCTCTGCGGCTCTAGAAGTGGCTATAGCCTCTAATGACCCTCTCAAACTTTCGACTCGTAGACCGAATGGTATGCTCAACTTCAAATAGCAAAGACTCCTCAGTTTGGAAGCTAGTCCTTTCACGTCTATATCAGTCACACCACTACTACCACACGGAAGCGAGATTCGAAATAAGCTGGGACAACTTTGTATGATTATATCCACGGTCAGATTGTCCAAGCCCTCTTGCACCTTCCACTCATGTATCTCCAGACTGAGAAGCGACTTGCCATGATCTCGGATAAGCATCATGATTGCAGGGGCATTGGTTGGTACTGCAAGGTGCTTTAGCTGTTTAAAGTTATAGGTGTTTATATAGTCGGGGATCTCTGTTATTTTCAAGGTCCTTAGAGTTGGAGCGTGGCGTTCAACGAGTTTTGCAAAGATTATTCCAGGTCGCCTGGGTATCCCTGCTTTTCCAAAATGAATATCCAGCAATTCCAGTTTCGATGTCGTGTCGACAGATGCTAACGAGCCAAAGACCGCGAGAAAATCTACGGGAGATTTACCAAAATACAGAGAGACCTGTTTTAGACTGGATGATCCTGCAAAATTCCAGTCTCGAGCATCGTAAGTAGTGCTGGTCAGCCATTCTGGAGTTACATAACTGAATACTTCAAGAGTCCTGGAGCTAGACAGCCTTAATATGTCCAAGTACGATTGGATTGGCCCGTCACAGTGGAATGTGTGGATTTTTAAGTATTTTATAGCTTCTAGTCGATAGTCCGATATCCGAAGATGGGGGTCAAGCATAATTTCAATTTTTACCTCTGCATTGTTGGCCATGAATCGTTTGGCCAGGGCTTCATTCAGATTGTCGCCTCTAGGCGAGAAGAAGCATATACGCTGTAAATTACGAGCCTGAGCCAGGGTATTGTCTATCGAATGCTCTACCTCGACGAAGCGTATGTCACACCGTTCAAAGAATTCTTTGAGATCTTCTCGGTCAAGTATAAATTCATTCCGAGAGTGCCCACGCTCTTTATATTTCAGCGTCCTGACATAGTTTAGAGCATTTTGTCCCAATCCAATGTCGTTTTCCAACAATGGCCAAAGTGTTCGGTAGTTCCATGATCTATGACGCGGCGGAATTGTCTCATACATGAAACGAAGGGCCTAAAACATAAGTAATTGATTGATGAATTGAGCTTCTCACACCAAGCTTTGAGGTTGCAACGTTTACGGTTGACAAATGTCCTAACTTACACCTGCATTCCAGAGCTTCGAGACAAGAGAACAAGCAAACAAGCAATTCCAATCCTTTTCACCATTCTCATCCGTAGTTCTCTCTAATATTGCCTCAATAATCTCCAATGGCAACATTCTTCCAAGGTCAACGACCAAGTCTGAGCTCCAAAGAATCCAAAGACCAGGAGAGGAGGAAGAATTCGTTACCACTATGATGATTCGCTGTGCTGATGATGCGGGCCCCCTAAATCGTGCTTGGTGATTGAGTAACGATGTGGAGGGCTGTTTTGAAGTTTGTAGGCAAAATAAGCGCCTTCAAGCTTCATGTCACGTTTTTGAAACGTGTTTGAGAATTAATTGCGCGTCTTGATATTCTGCGAAGCAGACCATTCAGCACATCTCACATTCTTGACGGGATCGCATAGCAAAGACCGCACTCTACAAAGATACGCTTGAGTGGTAAACAAATCAATCATGAGACTGGTTCTATTATAAGATTTTATTAGCCACTTTAATTCAATTTACAGTTTAGAGATCTCTAGCAACTATTCCTCTCCGTCGTCAACTTCTCCGTTGCTTTCATCTGGCGCTCGACGTCCTTCAACAATGACTCCTCCATATCTACGAGAACATTGTGAGGGTCGACGATTCGTCGGAATTCAGCCCAGAAAGACCAGTATTTCTCAGCCTCCACAATATCTGACAAGGAATTCCAGAAGTGTACCGCTAGCTTCAAATGTAGTTCTCCTTGAAGGCCATATACAGTCTTCCCGAGTTTTCAGCTCATCTTGTTACTCCTTCTGCTATACTGTTTGCTGAGATGGCTTCACGGGTATACGTTTCAAAGCGATCATGGTGGAAATAAATCAACAAACACAGTGTCAGGAATATCGAAGTTATCCAATGTTAAATTTTTTCGAGATTGTTGCAATATCGTGCTATCAGACCAACATCAAATATGTCTCGACCAACACCGGATACATCCTGAGCATAGTTTAACAGTGTCAACGTTTATCAATTGGCTTCCGTTTACGACCAAGAAGGACTCAAATCCACCTCGATTTGCATCTCCAACCGACATATTCACGCTGCTTGAACGATTAAAATCGAGATGGAATACTGGTCGATCTATGTGTACAATGAGATCTTGTGGGAGGTGAGGGCCGCCATTACGACCAGATAAATCAGCGAGGGGTTTGTTCGAAAGGCCAAGGGTGGACCAGTTCGAGCTTTTTCAATGTTTGATGGTTTGATTCTAGGATATTCCAAATATCTTCCGGATGAATTTGAGATGCTGTTTCTAGAATCAGAGCTTGGAGACCACCTTGCGCCGTCCAACTCCATCCATGTGAGAAGGTTTCATAGAGACGTTGACTAGAGACACGTCATGTAGATGTATATAAATAGCTAGTCGTACATCACGTACCGTACTCATATTAGTACAGTACAATCCCAGCTTTCTGAGAGTGTTTTTACTATTTTAGTACTACCATGATCTGACCGAGTTTGGTTGATTTGGATAGTTCATATACTTAAAGACTTCGAGACGTTTTAATTCTATAAAAAGGAGCCAACGTAGTGCTGTTTCTTCCTTTGCACGCTTGGACCTCCAAGTGTTTGATGCATCGTGAGTTTGCAGCATATTCATTCAAGAACATTATGTGCGAAGGCTTGTCCATCCTTTCAGCGTGGCGGCTGAAGGGCTTCTTTAAAATTTACAGTTTGACCATAATGGAAATTAATCCCTGAACCATCTACATCACTGCAGTCCAATACTATACCTTGGCGTCAAACACTTTCTCGAAACGGGAGTTCCAGCGGGCTAAGGAAAACCGCAGGCCTGGCAAGTGACTAAATGGATGGATGGAAGGAAGCCAGGTGCTTTGAAGTCCATCTCCTCCTTCCTGCCACGAGTGTCGTGTTGTGTTTGTTGATAGGAATCAAGACAAGCAGATCACGGTTCAAGTAGGCGTTTGAATAACAGGCAAAAACATGGCTGACGTGAAGATAAATAATTTAGATTGGTTGATACCGACGTGTCTCTATTGGGAACGCGTTCCTCGTCGAGTAAGCTCAACAAAGCACCCCAATTCAACGGAATCTGGGCGTTCTCGGAATCGCGCGGTGCCGGACTTGTAAGAGGTCTGCCACACTGGCACCAGGAATCAAATTCCAAAGGTTTGATCCTGACTTTTGAGCTGGATCTTCTTGGGAAACATTACGCACATCATCGAGCGACTTCGAGTGACGAGATCAAATGACATATCACTATACTTACATTGCGTATTTTCGAAGTCCGAAGTAGTATTTCGGGAAGTTTTCTATTCTTTGCTTTTCTGAGAAGATCAAACAGATCAAACTGCCTTGAAAAAAAAACTTGGAGCAATAGCGATGAGAGCATATGATCGATACAGACCAGCAGGAGTATATGGAGTCATCAGCTCGCCCAATAGCAATGCTCTATTTGACGGAGAAGGCAAGCTCGCCATCTGTCCGGCTCTGGAAGATGTGATCGTTTGGAATGTGAAACAAGGAATTCCAGTATGTTGTTGCCCTGTCTTAAGAACCGACCACTGGCCAACTAGTTGCACATTCCCATTAGGTTGCTAGATGGCATGATGAAGACAACCGAACGGAAGTCACTTGTATATCTAAAAGCCCAAAAACCCCGACATTTGCTGTTGGGTAAATGCTTGCAAAAAAAAGTCGAAGTTGGTCTAAAATACTAACCGAGCGCTCATAGATACGCCGATGGATCAATACGTATCTGGAACATTGAAACAAACTCGTCCTCTATAACATTCACGGGTCATACCGCTGCCGTCACTGCTCTATGTTTTGACAAGGAAGGGTCCAGACTTGCTTCTGGATCCAGAGATACAGATCTCATTGTATGGGACGTCGTAGCAGAATCAGGCTTGTATCGGTAAGCCAAAAACGAATGCGGCGGCCTTCCTTTGTTTCGTTACCATTTACGTCCTCATGCACAACCCACAATAGTTTGCGAGGTCACAAAGATCAAATAACATCCATAGTATTCTTGGAACAAGACGACCTAAATCACGTTATAACAGCATCGAAAGACACTCTACTCAAGATATGGGACTTGACAGCCCGACACTGTGTCGAAACAATAGTCGCTCATCGAGGGGAATTATGGTCGATATGTGTCTCTCCTGATCAACTTTACTTGTTCACTGGAGGTGTAGATGATGAAGTACGAGTATGGGATATAGATCCTGTAGCTCTTACCACCAAGCTGGTGGTTGCTGTTGATGGTATGGATGTGGATCGACCAATGAAGAAGGCTCTCAACATGAGAGGATCTCTGCCACGTCAGAGCAAAGAACGTGTTGTAAATATACATTTCCATCCTTCAGGTCGCTTTCTTGGTATTCAGGTATTGCTCAATGTTGCCATTTCTCGTTCCCTTTTTTTGGCGAGTGCTCACATGAAACTCATTACAGGGCAATGACAAGTTAATCGAAATATTTAAAATACGCTCAGACGAAGAAGTAAAGAGGAAGCAACTCCGTCGTGCGAAACGACAACGTGAAAAACAACAACGGTCCAAACTTCCGTCCGATCCACCATCAGTCGCTGAAGAAACTGACGACGAAGCAACAAACCAACTCATACCCATATCCGATATATGTACATCTCTCGTAAACATTCGAGCCTCTGCACGAATACGGTCTTTTGATTTCTCACCGAAAACTGCCAAACCTGATTCCCCCTTCCAAGTGTTGGTGTCATTGTCTAGTAACGCTGTAGAAATATATGTTGCTAATTTGCCAGACAAGACTGCTCCAACTCAACTAGTCACTGCTATTGACTTGTCTGGACATCGTTCCGATGTTCGATGTCTGGCGCTCAGCTCGGATGATCAAATGATTGCTTCTGCTTCTAGTGGTACGTTTATCATATTGAGTGGATACTCCATACGCTTTTTTTACTCATGGTGCCCTTTTCTCCTCTATCCATAGATTGTATCAAAATATGGAGTGTTGCAACAGGTCAATGTCTGAAATCGATGGATGCAGGATATGCACTCTGTGCTTCATTCTTGCCTGGAAACAAACACGTATGTTATTTGAGATCGAAAGTCTCGAATATGAGTGATTCTTTGCTTTTTTTGTTGACGAGTAATCCAATGTATAGATCATTATTGGCACCAAGACTGGTGAATTGGAATTGTATGATCTAGGATCATCTGCCTTATTGGAAACAGTCAAAGGTCATACTGCATCAGTCTGGTCTCTGCAAGTTCGATATGACAAGGGTGGTTTTGTGACTGGTTCCGCTGACAAGGAAGTCAAGTTTTGGGATTTCTCACTTCGAGATGATCCAAATGATACAGGGGTACGTGGTGTGCTTTAAGTTCGGATCGTATCATCCGACACCCTCATTATGTCTGATTTTTTTGCAATTTTTAATCAATTTACAGGCGTCAAAACGCTTAACGCTTACACACACTCGGACACTCCGAATGTCTGACGATGTACTTTGCGTCCGATACTCTCCAGACAGTCGATATCTCCTTGTCGCTCTTCTAGACAGTACAGTCAAGGTCTTTTATGTCGATACCCTCAAATTCTACCTGTCCTTGTATGGTCATAAACTACCAGTCTTGTCAATGGATATATCGTCGGATTCCAAGCTGGTTGCTACTGCTTCAGCCGACAAGACCATTAAATTGTGGGGTCTAGATTTTGGAGATTGCCACCGTAGCTTACTTGCTCATCAAGATTCAGTCATGGGTGTTCGATTTGCATGGGGTACTCATTATCTGTTCTCTGTTGGAAAGGATAGAATTGTCAAGTATTGGGATGGTGACAAGGTAAATTACACAAAGAAAGCACTTCGCCAAACTCTTACTTATTTACCGTGTTTTCGCTGTTTAGTTTGAACAAATCATGAAATTCGACGGCCACCATTCGGAAGTCTGGGCACTGGCAGTTGGTAAATGGGGCAACATAGTCGTAACAGGATCTCACGATCGATCCATTCGAATATGGGAAAAGACCGATTCACCTTTATATCTGGAAGATGAACGAGAAAAGGACCTGGAAGAAATGTATGATCGAGCTGCAGTCACCAGATCTGATGGACGTGATGATGCAGCTATTGGATCAGGAGTAGAAGATTTGGATGGATTGGAACATGTACCTTTACCTGATGGTAGTGGGAAGAATGAAGTAGGATTGGCTACGAGATCCACCACTACGTCTCTGAAAGCTGGAGAAAAGATTTTGGAAGCTTTAGAGATATGGGAAGAGGAAACTGCTGGGTTGGATGCTTACGAACTGGTAAATTAACACACATTTGCACTTTTTTTCTTGCCCTATAAATGTTAACTTATTATTTCCGTTACATCTAAACTAGGCTAAAGCTGCGAACCCAAATGCAGCAAAGCCATCTCAAAATCCGTATATCGCCGTGCTGAATGATCCAACCATGACACCAGATCGCTACGTCCTACGAACTGTCCAGATGATTCGGGCAGCAGAGTTAGAAGAGGCTCTTCTAGTCTTGCCATTTGCTCAGATAACACTCTTGCTTCGGTGTATGGCTGTATGGAGTCAGAAGGTATGTTTGAGCGGACATGTGCTTACGAACATGCCCTCGCAATACAGTCGTTTTTTGTTGGATTTGAGACTCTCTATTAAGAGCATGCACAATTGTGTGTACAACGCAACTCGAGTCTGCTTGCTGTGCCAGCGCGCCTGTGTTCTACGGGCGCGAGGTTAAGTAAAGTAAGATTACCACATGGGTTTCAGTTGAAGGAATATCTTTGTGCTAAATAAAGATCGGAGCTCCAGACAGCAATTAGTTTTGCTCTTCTGTCTTCGTCATGTCGACTATGTCAACGGGGGATGAGGTGTCGTCGGGTAGCCCCCCTGTCTAGTTGTTCGGCGTACATTTTAGAAAGAATGGTCGATGCCTTCACAAAGTTGAAATAGAGTAAGGAAATGCTCATCTAACTTTGTTTTTTCTTTTCCACCCATGTCAACAGAGATGGAATCCAACATTATGTGCTCGAATCCTAACATCTATACTCAAAACACACCACAATCAACTAACGGCCACTGCTTCCATACGAAAAACACTTATGACAATCAAAACCAACATGAATGCTGCACTACGAGAGCAGCGTGATATCATTGGATTTAATTTGGCTGGGTTGAGATATCTGGAACGTGAAGATAAGAATTCACGAATTGGTGGGATTGAATTGGATCCAAGTTTGGATGTTGTAAGTAGTAGTAGTGAAAAGAAGGGCAAGAAACGTCATAGATTGTCGATTGCATAATTATCTCACGTTTGTAATATATTTAGCATTTTGCAGTTCAGAGCAATGCCGCAAATCCAGCGTTTTCTTGTTGCATCACGTAAAGATATACCAATTTTCTGGACTGCTTCATAGTCTTTGATGAAAGAATACGCGATCATTGCTGAAGTTTACGCGGTGTGCTGAAGTTTCGGTTGCTCAAATAAAAAAGTTTCAGAGCGAAACTGACATTGTTTTTGTAATCGATCGCTGCCATCGCTGCGATGAGAACGACTCGGCTGAGGCTATATGTATTGGTCTTTTTACTATTGATCTGTGCCGACATCTGTATTCATGCACTTCCTGTCAATACCGATGAAATTGGGAATGTGTCAAACGACTTGGAACGTGGCGGAGCTTCAACGGTTCCTATACTGGTAATATAAATGAGTCTTCTTGGAATTTCTATCTATAGAGTACTCTAAAATATCAACTTTGTAGGGACCAAACACTCCAAATCCACCATGGGATCAAACTTTGAAATCGCACATAAGAAAAGGAGCTCATGGTGTTAAACGAGTGGCCGTGAGACTTTTTACAGCTGTTGGAAACTTTTTCAGATCAATATGGGCGGTACGAAATCATGTTATGCCTGTGTTTGACTCCAGTTTCCAAAGCTGAAATCATTGAAACACGCTACTTAGTTCTTAAAGAACAGAAGATCTCCAACGACACTTCCAACAGTCCAAATGGAATCTTTGGACTTGCAAAAAAATGAAGACAGTTCAACTTCTTTGCCTGATAGACCTGTTGTTCCGCACGAAACAGTCTTTCGCCCATCCTATCGTGATGGTACCCCATTGGGTGCATTAACGCAATTCGCTGCACGAATTAACGAGGTATGCAAGACTCCAGTTATTGAGCCTATATTTACCAGAATTCCATTAGATGCCTGGTGGTTTTGATGCCTTGGAGAGAATTTCTGCTGAGATGCTGATGCCTTCCTTAAAGCTCATGGTTAATATTGCTCGGGAAGTGGTGGACGCTCCTGTTGCCGGTAAAATCGTGAGTAAAACACACTTTTGACATTGGCGCTGTACGCTGTGGTTTCACTGTGAATATATGTTTCTAGAGCGAGTCCCTAGCTCAGAGAGCGCAGCAGTACATAATTCAGCCTCCGTTCTCTAAAGATATTGATGGCACTTATAATCCTAAGATTGTTCCGACTTTGGTTGAGTATGTTCATAAGTTACCTGAATTACTGGACAAAGTAAGTGTGCCGTTCGGCGTTCTTAAATCAAATGTCGTCGCTTTTCCTCAATCCGTGATATTTTTGTAGACAAATCCAAGAGTCATCCCAACTCTGGTCGAATCGATACCAGAGATAGTCAAGTCTGTTCATATGATAACTCAAGTTTGGCAGTCTACTGCCTCTTTATCTGAGAAAGTAGGAGAGACGGCATCAGCACTTAACCAGATCTTGCCCGTTCTTGTCATGTGGAATTTGGTACCGCATGTTAAATACGGCACGAGTATTTATGAACTGGCTGCTTTTGCATCGTTACCTGCTGGTCGTCACACTTTTGATTGGCAAGAACTTTCAAAATCTGTTGCTCAGAAATATCTGGAGTCAGACTCGCTTCAGGTAGTAGAGCTTCTTTTTGATGCGGCTGCTTCACGAGATTCTGAAGGCTTCAATAGAAGGATCAAAGAAGTATGACAAAAAGTTGATTTTGATATAATTTTGTGCAAATTATTAAATGCGCAAACTTACTAGACTCCTTCTGATGTATTGGATGACATTAGCACCAAAACCCTGATACCCATTCTCAAGTTTGCCATTCCAATATTTCATAGAGTTCTGAGTCTTCCAGTCACCGAGGCATTGGTAAGAAGATGTTGAACATGCAACCACAGCTTCAGATGGTTGATTTTTTTGCCGCCCTCTAGGTTGACGTTATTGCTGAAAGAGCTCACGAATACGCTCAGCGAAATCCATACCCAGGTCGGGCAAACGACGAATTTGCTGTGATGCTTCGAGATAAGTTTCCGAGACTTCGCGACTATATCCAAACACTGCCTGGTATACTTGACAAGGTTCGAAAGAATACCTTGAATCAAACATTCCAACTCTTCTGAAACCGATTTTTATTTCTGCATAGGACCCAAAAGTTGTAGCTCTTCTTTTGAAGAGTCTTCCAATTCTTACAAACCTACCTGATGGAAGCTCGTATGATGACCCAACGGTTGGTTTTGGCCAACGTTTATCTGAAGTCATATCTTTGGTTCGTACCATTTTGCCCATCGTTCCCAGTCTGCTGAGGTCCAGAGCTGGCCGAGAACATGCTAAATATATTGGTGATATTATGAGAGTGGCACAATTTGCTGGCTCGAATGCAGCTCGGTATGCTTTCGATATTCCTGCAGTGACCTTGGCTGTCGCTTCCCGGTTCTTGGATGAAGAATCTGTACAGGTTATTCAGCTTGCCATGGATGAAGTTCGTGCTCTTTCTGTAAGTGATTGAGTCATGTCTTTTATAATTTCATGCAACTTGAACTAAATCATGCTTCACTAGAATGAGGAGCAACACGGTCCACCTCCAAATGATGGTCATTCTCCGAGTAGCAGTGCTGGCACTCATAAGGTATGAACAGATATGATGGAAATATGTGATGAACTTTTCTCTAACCGACATTCGACTCCTTCAGAATGCCAATCAAGTGAGACCAACGATACCTGAACCTCTTCATATTCCAGTCTCTGAACCAGCACCGGCTGAGCACAGAGGTGGTGATAGTGTGAGCTCCCATCTTCGATTTCGTTTGTCATGACTTTTTACATACTGAAAACCATCACTTCATGTAGATTGGTGGAAGTGGTTCGGATAATATCCACACCAATGTGGGCGTCAGGATGATGCCTCATCCTCCTGCAAACGAAGGTGGAACAGAACAGAACTCCGTTTCAAGAGGTGACGCCAATCATGAATCTCTACGACTGAGTGATTCTCAAGCTGGTGATCTGCCGAGGGTGAGTTTTTGTTATCAATGTTGTAAAGATTCTTGACCTCTCAAATACTAAACATTGCATTTGACCTAGTCTGGTGGAAGTAGCTCAAATGATGTCCGCAGCAACTTGGGTGACAGGATGATTTCTAGGCCTGGTTCAACGGAAATGACCGACTTTAGTGGGGGACATTCGTTTCCACGCCAACCGGACACTATCAGGCTTCTTGATTTGCGTTGGCATGGGGGTCGACTGTAAAAATTTAGATTCTAATGTTTATTTCGTATTATAATCGCATTTGTAAGATTTATAGAATGATATTTATGAACGTTATAGAATGGTATCAAGACACCCGAGAAACAAACACTCTTCATATTTGGGACTTTGATACTTTCGTATATGCGATCGCCGTAAAGAGACTATGACAGATGGACTTAAAGCATGCTCGAGACACGTACCGAAGTGTCAGGAGCTCTTGAAGTCGTGCGTTGTGAGTTCCACCGACTGCACAATTTCCTTTATCACTTTAATTACACTCAGCCCACTTTAGGACAGAAAGCGCGATTCGCAATCTGTGAATGGCCGATATAGACGTAATCTTGAAGTAAATGATCTTTCAATCTACTCTGGCCGCCCTTCTTTGGAACTTATGGAGGAAAACGCAACAATCAAGTTGCCAGTGGAACTTTTAGAGACAGTCTTGGACAAGGTAATCCAGGAAGATGGTTGCCGAGATTGGAAGACCTTACACGCCTGTTCTCTTGTCTCAAAAACCTGGAATGAATGCGTAAGCTTCAACTTCAGAAAAACATTTGGATGGACGAGAAACTCAAAAATACTGTCACTGTGATCTTTTAGGCCCTTCGCTTCCTGTACGAGACGCTCCCAGCTTACGAGAATAATCACATTGTGTGGCATGAGCTCAAGACGTTGGGTCGGTTGATGAAGAATACTGCAGGGTTTGGTCAAAATGCTCTCCAACATGTTAGAAAACTTCGATATGCCGGTGCGCCAACAATGAGTCTTGGAGGATCGATGCTCCATGTTACCTAGTGAGTGGTGATATGGCCTGCCCTTCCCTTTGCTCCGAGTTATAACATATTTGGACCTTCTGATAGTGCACATCTTGTGCTGAAGAAACACCACCTGCGACAGATATTTGAACACTGCAATATAAATACAGTCAAGGCCACGCTTTGGGTCGCTGACATTCTCTCAGAGGCTCGTAACTTGCGGTGGCTATATCTCGAGCAGCCGCAAGATGAAAGCGATATGAATGAGGATCTCATCAACAGATTCCATTTAAATAATCCGGATGTCAAAATTAAACTCGAGATTGAGCAGGATTTGAGGCCGTCGGGGAATATGTGGCAAGCTGTCAAATATTTGAAAATCCACACACTTGTTTGTTACACGCCAATCCCATCGTTTTTGGACTTTTTACGGGGTCGCAGCTCCGAAACTCTCGAAGTATTGACAATGGATCTGTCGGGTTATCCTATCGCTCTAGACGTAGCTGAGGATTGGGATTTCAGGGGGTTCTCAAAACTGAAAAAGCTCACCATGACGTTTTATGAAGAGCTAGTAGATTACCATAATATATTCTTCAGGTCGCTGGCATCCGAAACTGTCAAAGTGAAATTGGAGTATTTGGATATTGATCTTAGTGGGAAACCTAGCGTTATGTACGGAAAACCTAGCGTTATTTACGGAAAACTCATTGAACGTCATGCTCCAACCCTGAAGACGCTAAAAATAAGCCAAATTCCTGAACAGATAAACACCTATAACTTTAAACAGTTAACTCAGCTTACAGTACCAACCAATACTGCTGAAATCACGATGCTCATCCGAGAACATGGCAAGCATCTTACCAATATCGAGATACTAGAGTGGAGGGCTGAAGGAGATTTAGGCGCTCTAATCGTAGATACCGTTATAGAAAGCTGTCCCAAGTTGCTTGAAATTTCCGTCCATGGCATGGACGCCCTTAGTTTAGCCAATATCAAAAAACTGGCAACCAAAATAAATAGTC